TTTCTCCCAAAGGCGCTTTGTTTCTTGCAACATCTTTGATCGTGTACTTTTATTTCTTTCTAAAGTGTGATCAACAATCACACCATCTAGTATCTAGGAATCATAATTATAAGAAAAAGGAATAAACATTTTAATTTTTAAAAATATGTCAGTCCAGAAAGTATAAAATGAAAATCATTTATTTATTAGTTGAATTATAGTCTGCAGAATGACATACAAATAGTTCACTATCTATGCAAATGTTTAATAGAAAAAATATCTCATTTTTTTTTAAATTTCTTATTTGCTAAAAAAAAAATAGGAATGAATAAGAAAGATGTTTATGTTAAACTTACTCTGACACAATCGGTACAGTATGAAGCTGGTGACAGCATGTGACAGTGCCACACCCAGGCTATATCTAGAGGCGCCTCCAGAACCTTTTTCTTATGTTTAGCTGCCAGAGGTAACCAAAAGTACTGGTACCTATACAGTGCTTGACGCAAAAACCTTTCATCTCTCAAATCTGTGTGCTTGTCACATTCTTCTAGAAACTGCAAATGGTTGATTGCCGACGCAACCAAGTTGATATTTATCGAAATGTCTTTGTATGATTTCATTTTTAAGCAGGGATATCAGTCACACGTCCTACACAAAGTCTAGATTTTTGTAGTTCTCTAGAAAAAAAATAAATTTAATAAACAAATTGAAAAGAACATATTTAAAAAAATGAAACTAATCTATTTTATGTAACTAAAGAACAACTGAAAACAAGTAATCTAGTTACATTTTATCAAAACCAAAGTACCTCTTTGTATAAAGTATATTAAAATATACAGCTATAAAAATGAACCCACCCTAAACCTAACTATGAAATATGACATTACAGCTGTGATTTTAATGAGCAAAGTCAGCCTTGGCCCATATAATATTATTAATAAGGCAATTAATTATAATTTTAGCCATCAGTGCTTGGGGACAAAAGGGTCAGTCCTCTGAAATTTGTAGCCTCTCTGCTAGTTTGTGTTAACCTTCTTGATAATTTCCCAATATAATATGCTTTTCGCCAGTTGTTTCCTGGCTGTACATCTCCAAGAAAGCCTAAGCTTTTCATTTTTGTTTTTCCCTTTTTGAGTCCAGTTGTAATAGCTGTAATTTCCTTTGACCTCATCCTCAGTATATGGCCTATCCAACACTATTTTTTCAATTACTACTGAAATTGCTTCTTACTCCTTTTCTCTTAGTTACTTTTAATTTGATATAGTGTTGATCCTTTGCAGGCACTTATTTTGGAAGAAGTCCAGCGAGCAAATGGTAACAGTGTTTGATTTCCACCATACCATACAGAAAGACACTAAAGAAACTGCTTTACTAGTGACACCAATGTTCACACATTCATACAAAATGAATTGATGATAAAAAAAAAAGATTTGCTGGTATTCTCATGTTAAGAATGACTTCAAAACTATCCTAATATATACAAGCCCATGTCCACACTTCTTTCTCTCTCTCTGTCTGTAACAGTTTGAGGCTATGTGATCAGTATGTTCAGCAATATATGGAGAACAGAAAGATACAGACTTTTGTTGAAAATAATATGGTGGATGTTTTAAATGTATAAATTAAATTTTATTTGAAAAAGGAAAATAAAAATAAAGGAATATTCAAAAGTAGAAACATATTTTTTACTATGCTGCCAGAAGAGTGTTTATTGTTGTGAAAAGTTTGAAAAACAGTGACATCACATGTCACATGCTTAAACTATGGAAAGTACACAAAACTAATGGCATCATCTTCCAATTTTAGAATATGAAGAAATGAATTATTTCATTTGAATTTGATTTAAACCTATAGATCTACTTATTAAGACGTATGCTATGAAATGTATACAATTTTCTTGGCCAAAAGTATTACAAACTACTTTAAAAAACAACATAAATACAGTTGAACAGCCGGGTTTGTAGCTGAATCATTTAAGTATCTTAAAAAGTGTGTGCATTTAATATAGTGTTGACATTGAGTTGACTAATAATGTATATAATTTGGTTTTTCTTATAGGTGTTGGTAGCCTATGTTATTTTAAATGTGTCAGATTTTTAGCTAATTAGTAATTTCTTTGCTTTGTAACTAATATCGTTCAACATGTAGTAAAGCACATTGCGTTTTGACCAATAACTATTTTATAAAATATTTTTCTCAAACAAGTATAACATTAAAATATGTAGGCCTATAAATCACGTGAAATGGGTACCGACAGCTAGTTTATTGTATTCTGAAGTTAGTTTTGGAAATTAAGTTTAAAATTTTAACTATGGTGAAGTCTAATTTGAGACACAGCGCTACTATTATGAATGGTACTGTTAAAAGGGAAGCTGATTCAATATATCAAATTGCTGAATCTCTGATCAAACAGGAAACAACCCGTTACTGTAGTACATTAAATAAGGGTAGGTTTAGGTTTCTGATTAGAATTGGGAGTTGTAGTATCAGTATCTGTCATACTAATTTCATTATAATAATCTTTAAGGTTACCTCTAAATCCAAAGTCTAGACACTAAATGTTTAAACTAGACATTGGTATAACCTATAGAATCAAAGCCAAAGTGCACACTAAAATGTGGCCTACTATGTTATTGATACTAAACACTATTGACAGTCACTAAACTAAATTTTAAGTACAATATAATAGACATACTGACTCAAATAAAAACTAGACTATAAGATATATAAAAATAGCCTGCAAACAGATCTAAAGCTTCTAAAATTTCTGGATGCATTGTTTACTATTAGGCCTAACTCCATCTAATACTAACTGTTAGGCTAATAATTGATTGATATAAAACAAAAAAGGCATTATTTGATAACTGAATATTCCTGAATATTCCTACATTGACATCAAGACTCCACAATACAGAAATTACAGCAAATGTACAATAATAGGATGCAGATCTAAATGTATTGCCTGCATACATTAAGTAACAAGTGCAGAACAACAGGACTATGCCTTAGGGCCTGGGCAAGTATGGTAAGAGAGAGGGTGTGGGAGGGAGATCCCCTTTTTGTTTATAAGTTTTTTAACTAGGAGGTTCAAAATAGGTCAAGCGTGTCTGTACGACCTTGTTCTCTTATACATATAATAAATCTAACCTGCCATAAAAATTTAGTCTCTAGGGCTGCATCACTAAAAAAATTATTTAATAAAATTATAAGTTGAATAAGAGTGCTTGAATGAGTTTAGATAAAATGATAGACATTACTAAGTCACATAGACTAGATCTAAGCTATGCATAGTAGTGACGAATGACTCAACAAAGTGGCCTTTTTTATGAGCTAGCTGACAACAGTGAGGAAAGCATATGGAGACGGAGGAGAAGCAGATGGCAGAGGCAGGACTATCATGGAGGACTGCCAGGAAATTGCCAGAGACCGACAAAAGTGGAGGAGGATTTCTTAGGTGGCAGCAAGTGTCTTAGGCACAAAAGGGGAAAAAAAAATGATGATAACAGTGAACTCAAAACTTTAAGTTTATATTCTGCTATTCTTCTCCAAGACACATGTGGCAGATTAAGTAGAATTCATTTGTTTAAATGACCTTGGCATATCATGAGATAGTGTGGTCAGTACTATACCCAGCCACCTTAGCTAGGTACCCATCAGAGTTGGGCGGACTCTGGGATGTCATACAGACATATTTGATTGAAGGCAATGCAGCTGTAGTGATCTCCACAGAACTTACTAGATCTAGTATTTTACATTTTTTAAATAGAAGAAAAGAGTTGCTCACCAATTAAACATAAACAGTAAGTGTATAATAGAACCAACACTTAGTGTTTTATAAAAGAAACAGACACATTTAAAAAAAAAAAAATTATTAATTCAGCAAATTTTATGTCACAATGAATTGTCATAGAGTCTAGACTTACATGAAAAGTTGTGAAGAAATCAGTCCACTAAGGTGATCTTTTTTCAGAAATCAGAAAAAGTGTAAAGTAATGCTTTGTTCACTACCCCGGACCTTTTACAAAAACCTGTATGGTTGTGTACTTGAAGAACAAGTTAATACACAATGTAAAAGATGTAGCCTAAATATTAAAAAAAAGATAAGCAATTAAGTAAAATAACCAAAACTGACGTTGGTAAAAAAGTAAATAACTAAACCTAATTTGCATTCAATTTTTCAAATATGATTTCAATTAAAAAGACACAAAGCATGTTTTAAACGCTGTAATAGGCTAAATATAGTTTTCCGCCGCCACTGTGCGTGATTGTTAGGATTGTGTGGAAAATTTGTTTTTTTATTTGAGATTGGCCAATGGGGAGTTCGTAAGTAACTTTTATCTTAAAGATAGTGACTTGCAGCAGAAGGAAGATAGATCAGTAACGGAACATCAAGTGTGAAATAAAGTGCATTTAGGTTACGTTTGCAATTTAAATTGTACCCATGGACCAGAGGCGTAGCGACCCATTCCAGCGCCTGGGGCGAACAATCCATTGTGTGCTCCCACGCTCATTTATATATATATATATACATATATATATATATATATATATATTCAAGTTGGTGACCCCCCCCCAGTTGGAAAGGTATGTGGCGCTTTTAACCAGTCACTATCCTTAAATGTTTCTATTCTGGTGCCTCACAATTGATGTACAATTGTGTGTATAATTCAATACCGCTACTTAAAATGAACTTTTTTCCAACCCTTTTTGGCGCCCCATTAGGGGCCGGCGCCCCACCCGCCCTCCTCTAGCTACGCCACTGCCAAGGAAATCATGCATAAATATGTTTTAGTATTCGTTATGTGAACTTACACTTAATGTAAGAAAATAAAAATAAACATTGCCCCAAAAAAAATAAAACATCCCAACTAAAGCTCCTTTTAGACAAGACCTTATCAGACCCAACACTATTTAGACTCGCTCCAACCCATGCTAGGTACACATATCCAACCTGGGCTGACTCACGACCCAAAACACTTTCTATATGAATGTGATTTCATTAAACGAAAGAACTCAAGAAATAAGAGTATATATTTTTATTACTGATACAAAGATATCACTGAAGAGACAACAAAAAGTGGTCTACATCTAATAAAAATACAAAAAATACAACCACAATTTTTTTTTAGATAAATCACAGTAATGTTTGTGAATTAACTATTTAAAATAAACAAATGTTATTTGAAACGTATTAGTATTTTAAACAAAGTTCAAGTTTTAAGTAAAATAATTAAATAAAAATTGTCCCAGATCTTTTATAAAAACTTGTGTTGTTTCTTACTTGATATACTTAATGAAAAAATTAATACATAATTTAAAAGACTTTATTAAATAATAATCAGCAAATGACTAAAATTATTAAATATTAATTATGGATACAACAAGCTTGATAAATTTGCTCAGATGAAATAATTCTCAACAAGACATTTATGAAGGCCATAAAAATATTTTTTTCAAAATATACTTATTAGAAAACTTGTCAACTTTGAGACAGGTAAAAAATACTATTATTGCACAACCATTTCTTCCCACTTTCTTTCAAAATTTTCTCTTTAGCTTCTTAAGATCTTCTCTGTGGCCTAAAATAATATTTTCTTTTTTAGGTACAAAATTAATGAAATTTGTCAAAATCTTTAAGCATAGAAAATAATGATTTCATCACCATATAAAGCCAACTTAAGAAATAAATTGGATTTTTTAAGTATACCAGAAGACAGTTATTGGTTGGATTTCTGTCTGTTTGTCTGTTGTGAATATAATTTTTTTTTAAATGTACCTCCAAAAGCATAATAAATTTGATACATTCATTTGGCTGTTTAAATGTTTTCCATAAATATGTTTTTATGCTAGCTGTATTGCAGTTATGATTATCTAGAAATTCAGACAATTATATGAAGAGAAGAATGAATAAATAATCACAAACATTCAAACAACAGTGTGTTTTAGTAGTATAAATACGATATAGGAATAGGAAAGAAATTAGCCAATTAGAAATAAAAATAATAATTCCCCACAATATAGATGGAAAAAAGATGTGTGACCTTTAAAAATACAAGATATGAAGACTATAATTATATTCTATACTAAACAAAATAAATATATAATGCTTACTTTTCCAATTTTGGAAAAAATTCTGAACATTATTTGTGGCAGATTTCAACTCTTAAGTTGATAAACAATTTAGTCAGTGAGATTACTATTAATATATATTTAGGTATTGAAAAAAATGAAATTTTATAAACAGAGTAAAAAATCTCCAGCATTTGTTACTGTTGCAAATGTATGTAAATGTTACTTAATTGAACAATTAATTTTATGTGTTTATAATATCTGTAATAAAGGTATAAAACAAAAGAATATTTTTAAAAAAAACCATATTAAGGTAAATGCACAACAAAAATTGAAATATGAGCAAAAAATTAAAATATCACAATGTTTTACTGGCTGACAAAATATATATATTAAAAAAAACAACACAAGTTACATTTTATTTTGAATAAGTAAACTTGTTATTTTAAGTACAATTGCACAGAGCTTTTTCCCACCATTACTTCAGCAGGGAGCTTTTTGTCCAAAAAAAAAAATGAGCAGAGAGTGGATTACTCAAATTAAATTGTGCGTTGTTTTCAAGGCGTGGTGGATATTAGCTTAATTAGCAGAGAAGGAAAGAAACATTTACATGCACAAATACAGAGCAGGGAAAAAATTTTAATTATAAAAATATTGCAATGACCCAATGGGGTAGGTTAATGACAAGCATCAACCTTCAAACAGGTAACAAATTTAAATCCACAGTAAAAATAAAACTAATACAAATTACCGGGCTATTTTTCTATGCTGATAATAATATATAATTAAATAAATAATATTTTTCTTCTTCTAAACAACCTTTGCATAGGATTTTAAATTAAACAAGCAAGCGAAATATATAAATTGACCAGCACAGTATAAACTATACCCTCTGAATATGGGAGATACATCATTATAAGTATGATATAACTATATTTAACAACAATCATCACAATTGAAACTTTATAAATAGCATAGTACTTTCACTTATTGTTTAAATAACACAACAACAAGATTACCTAAACTGGTAAAGGAATTGGTTCATGCTTTACACTAATACATCAGTATTTGAGTAAAGCACAGTTTCACACTCCCTGTGTTTTGACTGTGTGACTTACAGTTACCATGTAAATAAAAATTGTTGCACTAAAAGAGTATTTCAAATGTTACAAAGTTGGAACATTTTTAGCAATCACAAAGTATGGATGGTGTAGTATAAAAATAGTTTTGGCAGTTGTATCCTCTATTATTCTGTTAAATATCTGTTTTATAAATATATAAATATAAACAAAGTTGGAACTGGTACAGAACCCAAGCTCTATAAATGTTCCTGGATTCTGCAATCTTAAAATATTTTTTTTTTCAAAATTGATATGTTTAATATATTTTAGATTTTTATAAGTTTGTATTTAAGCAAGTGGTTCATAAAGAAAGGTTATCACAAAGTCACGAATTTTAAACAATTGTGAAGCTTTTAACTCATATTATTGAAAAATCACAAAAACATATTTTTCTGAGTGATAATTAAAAAAAAACATCGCATACAACAAAACTTTTACAAAATATATTTTCAGTACAACGTAAACTAACACCTCAAAAATAAAAAATTGTATATTTATTAAGAGAAAATAAAATTCAGATCTTTTAAAATATATGTTGTGCACTGTAAACATGTTAATTCTTTTATGAAAGCTTTTTAATCGGTATCACTTTTTAAAAAAAAAAACAGTAGTGGCTCTATTCTTTATTTAGCAAGCAGGAGAACTGTGGGTTTTAGCCTCCACACCCGCCCCCACATCCACCACCACATCCTCCTCCACAACCTCCACCTCCGCATCCAGCACCCCCACCTCCGCATCCAGCACCCCCTCCTCCACATCCAGCACCGCCTCCACCACAGCCACCACATCCACCGCAACCCCCACACCCAGCACCACCATCGCCAGCACCATCACCCCCAGCCCCAATGTCACCACCCCCGACACTACCGCAGTCAACACCACTAAAATCACTAGCCACAACATCCCCTCCACCGCAGCCAGCACATGCGTGCACCCCGTAGGTTTGTGCCACAAAATGATTGCTTGGAGTGGCCATCAGGAAACCTGCAGCCATGATAAAGGCCAGGTCCTCAGAAGGAACATAAGTGACCTAGGAAACAGATAAAAACTAGTAACATATAGGCTACTTTAACACTGCATTTTCACTTTTGACATGTAAACTATTCATGTCTAGAAAAATAAGTCGCAGCAAGTAAGTTTACATGTTCTGTGTGAAAAATGTTATTTGTAGACATGTATACAAGTTGCAAGTGTAAATGTGGTGTAAGCAAGCATTCAGGTAGTAATTTAAATGTTCACAATACTCATGTACTTCAAGAGACATTGAGGTAAGTGGTAGAGTGCCTCAGTGTTAACCCTGAGTATTGACAAGTTCCAAATTTGGGGATGATACATATATTCATTTCTTCAATAATTTGTATTTATTACAACAGATTCTAAAATTTAAAAAAACTCTGAATGTTATTAATCACTAGGCAGCTTCTATTTACATCTGAAAGTTAACACATACCACTTTTGTTGATATTTTTATCTTTATGTTATACGATTAGATCTCGTGATAAAATTTTTTAAATTTTAGACAATGTATTAAGCTTTGTCTTCAATCAAAACTACCTAACTTTAGTACTAATTTATAAAACTAGGGTTGTTTTTTGTTTTTCTAAATAGATTTTCCATTGTCACAACGAGCTATTTTTGTTGTGATTTTAAATCTTTTAACTTGTTCAATTTAAAAAATTAATGTGTGAAAAAAAAACATACAACAAAAATGTGAGTAGCCTAGTTATGCTTACCTTTTTTGTTCCACGAGTTTCAGTACAGGACTCTAAAGTCTTTCCAGGCTTCCAGTCCTTAGGGCGGGGCTGGCACAGTACATGCAGCAGGGATATGCTGAAGGCCAGGGCTAGAGCCTCAGCCACATCATCACAGTGCTCATCCACCTGGTGCAACATTTAATTAGAACGTCATAAAACTCATAATCTTTAGTCATGTGACTTCCAATTGTCTACTCTTACAGGCTTTTGTCATGGCAGTTACAGTTGTATATATTTTAAATTTTTTGATGGTAGTGATTACCTACATTTACCATTTGCTCATGATTTATGCCAATAATTACTTACCATGACAATGCACTATAATTACTGCCAGTAATTATTTATTATGACAATTTGCTCCTGATTGATGCCATTAATTACTTACAAAGAAAATTTTCTCTGATTGATGCCATTAATTACTTAAGACAATTAGTTCTGATTGATGTCATTATTTTCTATAAAAATTTGCTCTGATTAACGCCATTAATTACTTATGACAATTTGCGCTGATTGATGCCATTAATTACTTATGACAATTAGCTCTGGGTGGTGCCATTAATTACTGACAATAGCTTGCTCTGATTGATGTCATTAAATTACTTACCATGACAACTCCTGCCTTGAGGTCAATGCTAACCCCAGCAACACTTAACGTGTAAATGGAACGGTCATATGAGAGCACCACTTCTTGAAGATCTCTTTCTTTCATTCTCCAGATCTTCACATGCAGAGTTCCAGCATTTCCAGGCACACCTCGCCTGCCAGCCCTACCTGGGGCACCTGTACAGTTTACAGTTTTATATAAAACCTTTTCAACAAGCTTCAATACATTTTTAAAAAAATTTAATCAAAGCAACATAAAAGGTTAAGCTTTCCATTTTAATGATCTGATTTTGAAGAGACAAAACTTTTCACTTTTCAACAAGCTTCAATAAATTTTTCAAGCCAAAATTAATTAAAGCAGCAAAATAATAAAGCTTCCCATTTTAATTTTCTAAAGTCAAAGTAATTTTTAACCTATTGAACCCATGGTACCGCTATTTTGATCAGAATCTTAAATCTTTATGCCCTAGCAGACCGATAAATCGCTCTAGGACACCTTACCCCAGATCAACAGCCCTACATAAAAATGCTAAATTAAAAAGCACGTAACTAAAACTGTTCGACTCGTGGTACGCTCCTGTTATGGCTGCTCCCACAAACTAATATTTTTGTTCTGTTTTTATTCAATGTACAATGAAAAGAGACAATTTAAAAATTCCAATAATCGGCTATCTGCTTGTCTACACCTACATGTGTCTGAAAGAGGGGTCTACCTGCATACTAAGTAGTAATATTGTCAATAATTTATGTACAAGGGTAGTTAAATTAACAAAATTAACTTTGTTGTTATATTCGTAATCTTTTTTTTTTTTACTGAGAGTCTATTGCTCAAAAGACATGGGGATTTTTGGGTCAGAAGCTAAGGGTTCAAAGGGTTAAACCAACCTTAACCAAAGCAGCAGGTTGATAAAACTTCTCATTTTAATAAACTATAAACAACTTAATAATAAAAAATTAATCTTACCGTCTACTCCAGCAACCCCTCGAGTTTGACGTATCCATCTACCAACCACTGCAGCCCAATCCCCTGAGTGGTTCTTGATAAGAACTGCCCTGTCAGCTGCCCTTGGGTTCAAGGTCACACATTGTTTTCTGTTTTCTACCTGGTTAAGATAAGGCATTCACAGATCAGCACTGATTCCAAATATCTTTTTCAGGCAAGTGGTTAAGAATAAGTTTTAGGAATAAAACTTACAACTAATTACAGTTAATGTGTTTTCATGTTCAAAGCAAAAATGTTGCTGTAACTCCACTGCATTAGTTTATCAATAATTAAATTTTTAAAAAATTACATGTAAAAAAAATTGAGAAATTACACTTTAATTTGTATTCAAACTGGTTTAAAAATCATTATTAAAAAGCTTTTGTTTAAAATTTAATGTAAGGTAGCACTTAAACTTTCTATGAAAATATAACTCTTAGACATTATAAATTGACTTGCTTGAATGGGGATTGGCAACTGGTCAGTGCCCACTAAATGACCAACAGCCACCATTTTGTCCTGGTAAAATACATGTACAGCTGACTGAAGCAATGGCTGGGAGTGGATCAGGCGACAAGTGAACAATGGCACTCCTCTGTGGTTAGTCACCCTGAAACAAATTTTAATCAAATTAAAATACATACAAACCTATTAATTAAAGTAAGTGTTGGTAAATTCATAAAGAGACATACCAACAGCAATTATTTTTCAAAAGTACCCAAGTTATGTAAACATTCTAAATTTGAGTACCTCCCCTTTCATTAAAATGACTATTTCAGGGGAGAGAATGCAGTTTTTGCTTACTTGTGAGATGCCACTTCACACCAGTTTTCTGCCCCAGGTGGTAGACGTGGGAGAGGGATAGGACCCCACATACTTTCTAAGTGCTCTGGCATGACAGCTCTCTCATACATGCCTGCCTTCAGGTACAATAATAAGGGTCCCTTCTTCACTGGGCCAATGTTGACTTTAAAGTCTATCTGTTAAATTATTTTTTAAAAGAAAAAAAGAAAGATATAATAAAATGTATTTCTAATAGGAATCACATATAGGTAACCAAAAATAAGAAAATATCAGTTTAATGTTTATGTGAAACAAAATTTCTTAAAACTGAATTATTATTTCTTTTAATTAATAAATTAATAAATAATTAGCTATTACAGTAAAGATACAAAACATTATGTGTGGTAATACCTCATCAGGGTTAAACTTCAATGTCGTCTCATAATTAATATAAATTATGTTTCCATTCTGTGATAATTAGTATAAGCCTCTCATAATTAATATTAATTATGTTTCCATTCTGTGATAATTAGTATAAGCCTCTCGTAATTAATATTAATTATGTTTCCATTCTGTGATAATTAGTATAAGCCTCTCATAATTAATATAAATTGTTTCCATTCTGTGATAATTAGTATAAGCCTCTCATAATTAATATTAATTATGTTTCCATTCTGTGATAATTAGTATAAGCCTCTCGTAATTAATATTAATTATGTTTCCATTCTGTGATAATTAGTATAAGCCTCTCATAATTAATATAAATTGTTTCCATTCTGTGATAATTAGTATAAGCCTTTCATAATTAATATAAATTATGTTTCCATTCTGTGATAATTAGTATAAGCCTCTCATAATTAATATTAATTATGTTTCCATTCTGTGATAATTAGTATAAGCCATGGAAATTTTAGATCCCCACTTATGCTTGTTCCCTTTAGGTGACAACCGCCATTTACATACATATAAATGAGAGCTAGATTTTTTAAAAACATTTTTCTCCCATTTCAAACAGAAACTAGCAACTTAATTACCCTAAGCACTGTTGTTTAAATGTATACAATTTGTATACAGGTTATATGTTTTGTGACAGTCACAGAATGTAACTATATTGATAATAATTAAAATATGGACATTGACCCAACCTCTCTCCCCAAAAAAAAAAAACTCATTTGGACCCCCACTTCCTCAGAGTTTCTTCCAGGCATCTCTTTGGGGGGGCTTTGCCCCCCCGAAAAATTTTTACCGCCCCCCCGAACGAAATTTATATAATTTATATAGAAAATATATACTTTTAACAGTGTCCGCCCCCCCGAAGAAAGTCTACCGCCCCCCCCCCCGAAAATTTCAAGTGCCCCCCCCCCCCCCCCCCGGAGAAAAAAGTCTGGAAGAAACACTGCACTTCCTCTATGTGGATTTCATATATAGATGGAGACCACGGTGCAATTTGTCTAAAAAAAAAAAACCCATTAGATAAAAACTTGACCTGAAAGCTCTGGTGCTGGGTGGTGCACAGCTCCTGCGTGGAGCTCTGTCCAAAAGGGATGGCTTCCAGCACTGGCAGCATGTCAAAGGTTGTGCTCATGATAGTTATTTCTGAGCCAAAGCAGCCCCAACCAGTCACATCTAGCAGACTGAACATCAAGCAGTTTACAGAGCGGGTGTTGAAGTTCACATGGAAAAGTGACTTGCTCTGCCAAACTTTGTTGGGGCCTTTGAGGGTTGAGATGAGCTTCTCCTGTATAAAAAATATAATAATTCATATGAGGCCATCTTTTGGGAGTAACATAAAAACAGTCTTCTAAAAAATGACAAGCTTAGTTGAAGGATGGGTGGAGTTGTATGAATTTTTTAGCGCAATTTCCATACGGACAATTGCGTTTATTAACTCGTCATTTCTGGATGTATGGATGTGTGTCCGCAGCTTTAAGTGGTATCTCCTCCTCAACGAAGCAATATCGAGGATTAGTTCCAAAAGCAAATATGTTAAGCAAGTTCCGAGGATGATTGTGGGCCAAAAAAAATCCCGGAATTCCTTCCTGGATTTCCCGGAAAAGCCAAAAAACCTCGAAAAAATGCCGTTTTTGGCCCATATCTCGGCAACCAGACCACTTAGCGACTTGAAACATTTGCCAATCAATTCCTGCCATAATTTTGAACAATATTGCCGAAGAAAGTTTTCAAAAATACCCTTTCGTTCGGTTACAAAAAATTAATTACTACTTTTTTAAACTGAGCATCGTGTAGGCCTAGGATGATGTTTTTTTTTTAAACTGAGCATCGTGTAGGCCTACTCGTTAAAATAAAACTATTTCCGTTGTTTAAAAACAAAATTGATCACTATCTATTTTTAGATAACATAAGGAAATTGCGCTTAAATTGTCACTAGACTTTTTATTAACTTGTTTTTTCTATTTAAAGCTCTAAAAGTAAAGGTCATTATTCAGCTTAGAGGTGGTCTAGGGCATTTAAAAAGCCTGAGAAACTCTTTTCCCTTCATTATAAATGTATGTAAAAAAAAAATCAAAGGAAAGGAAACAAAACATGTATTACCAATTTTTTAAAGAAATGTATTAAATATTATAGCTAAAATAAAAATCAAGTACTTCTGCTAACGAAAAACATCAAATTTCTTTCTAAAATGTTGACTGAGTCTGGCTAACATAGAGTATATTAATTTCAATTAAATTTACAAAAACAGTTTCCAAAAATGTGAAATTATGGCTTACATTCTTTTTCTAAAATTACCTTTTTTTTTAAAAATGCAAAAGTGTGACTTCACACTATCTGCCTATCTGAATTCCCCCCCCCCCCCCCTTTCAAAGCCAAAGTCAAGAAGAACTCTGATTCATCTGCCCAATAGATCACTAGGTCTAAATAGGACACACCCAAGATTTGAGAACATTGTACCTGCTTTGAATTGACTGCAGTGGACACACTCAAGCGAGGCTTGCCTCTGGTGGCTGGAGATACTTTCATCTCCACTCTTTCAAAAGCTAGGTTTGATATTCTGGTTCTCATCAGCATGATTTCTTCTGGCTTGATTGTTTGCAGCTTCCCTACTGGGTTCTCTCCCCTGTACATGGCTCCAAATAAGGCAAAGTTCTCAGAAAACACTTCTTTCCAAGCCTGGAAGGGATGAATTTACCAATTATTATATTAACTTTTTGTTCCACTGTTCAAACTTTGATCAAACTTCCTCACAGAAGTAGAACATAAAATATTACTTACTTTAATAAAGCTGTTTTAAAAAAAATTACTTTGGAAGCAAGTAGAATTTAAATCATCAAAACTCTGCATGCTTGATGCTTATTTAAAGTGTCATTAAAAAAAAAGTAAAATTGATTCTTTGTTATTACTTCTACAGGGTAATGCTTCTGTATTTTTATTGTTTCTATGTAATCTGTTATTACTCTTACAGGGTTATGCTACTGCAGTCTAGTGCTATTTCTATGTAATCTGTTTTATGTTAATAAAATTAAATTATGAAAAATGGTGATTTGTTAAATCTTTAATAAATCAGTTACAATACCAGATAAGCACATAATTACTAATATTACTAACATAAATCATGAATCTTGATAAATCATTAATTCTTTGATCAAATCTTGAACCCACCCAGCACTTATGGGTACTTGTCAAGAGTATTGGTAGTCATCTAAACCTTTTATATGTATTACATTATATCATTGCTCTGTAAAACTTAAATAATCTGAAAATGAAACATAAATATCTACATGGTGTGGTGAGTGTAAGCTAAAGACTCACTTCTCTTGTAGCCAAGTCAGAATTGTAAAGCTTTGACCCCTCATTCCGATCTGTGACACTGTCATCATGGTTAAAAATTTTATTGAACAACCTCTCCGTGTCCTCTTTGTAAGTCTTAGGGTAGAGCTGATGTGTGTGCCACATCAGGTCAATGTCGTAACAGGGAACTATGAACATGTTTGGTCGCTGGGTCTTTAGGTACAGAAATTTTTTGTACCTGACTAGGGAACTCTCCAGAAACTTTTTATCTGTGTAGTGGGGCAGACTAACCTGGAGATTTAAAATGTAATGTTATACAGTTTCAAATAAGCCATCGCTTCTTTAAACATGGAACAAAATTTCATGCAGTAAGTGTACAGTAAATATACAAAAGATAGACTAATTTTTAAATAAAAATATCCATTAATTTATTATTTTATTTGTAAAAAAAATTGAGTTTGAGTGTTTGAAACAATATAACAGTGTGGGTTCACAACTTGGGAAGCAACAGAGTACTTCTCATTTTTTTTAAGAACCTGATCAGAAATGTAATTGAATTAATTGTTGCTGAGCATTTGGCATGCAGTTTCGTGAGTAAAATGGCTTTGAAGTTTTTTTTCAAGAAGAACAGATTAAATCTGAAGACACTTCATTTATGATAAATTGTGCCAGAAATGATTTTGTAATAAACTCTTTTAAAGAAAAACAGGATTAAAAAATTCTCCATCAAATTTTTTAAATGGCACAAAATGAATACAGTACCTGATAACCAAATTCTTTCTGCCGACCAGCAGCTTCTAGAATGTTGTAAGAGAAAGTTGTCTGCCCATTTTTATACTGCTGTATCAGAAATCCAGTGTCCAAATCCATTTCAAAAGGGTCATTAGGATATTCTTTCTCCCAAAGGCGCTTTGTTTCTTGCAACATCTTTGATCGTGTACTTTTATTTCTTTCTAAAGTGTGATCAACAATCACACCATCCAGTAACTAGGAATCATATAAGAAAAAGGAATAAACGTTTCAATTTTTAAAAATATGTCAGTCCAGAAAGTATAAAATGAAAATCATTTATTTATTAGTTGAATTATAGTCTGCAGAATGACATACAAATAGTTCACTATCAATTCAAATGTTTAATAGAAAAAGTAACTCATTTTTATTTTAAAATTTCTAACTTGCTAAAAAAAAGAATGAATAAGAAAATTTTTTATGTTAAACTTACTCTGACACAATCGGCACAGTACGAGGCTGGTGACAGCATGTGACAGTGCCACACCCAGGCTATATCTAGCGGCGCCTCCAGAACCTTTTTCTTATGTTTAGCTGCCAGAGGTAACCAAAAGTGCTGGTACCTATACAGTGCTTGACGCAAAAACCTTTCATCTCTCAAAACTGTATGCTTGTCACATTCTTCTAGAAACTGCAAATGGTTGAGGGCCGACGCAACCAAGTCAATATTTATCGAAATGTCTGTGTATGATTTCATTTTTAAGTAGGGATATCAGTCACACATCCTCCACAAAGTCTAGATTTTTGTAGTTCTCTAAAAAAAATTAATTAAATAAACAAATTGAAAAGAACATATTTAAAAAAATGAAACTAACCTATTTTATGTGACTAAAGAACAACTGAAAACAAGTAGATCTAGATACATTTTATCAAAACCAAAGTACCTCTTTGTATAAAATATATTAAAATGTACAGCTATATAAATGAACCCACCCTAAACCTAACTATGAAATATGACATTACAGCTGTGATTTTAATGAGCAAAGTCAGCCTTGGCCCATGTAATATTATTATTTAGGCAATTAATTATAATTTTAGCCATCAGTGGTCCGGGACAAAAGGGGCAGTAGCCTCTCTGCTTGTTTCAGAGTGTTAACCTTCTTCATAATTTCCCAGTATAATCCGCTTTTTGCTAGTTGTTTCCTGGCTGTACATCTCCAAGAAAGCCTAAGCCTTTCATTTTAGTTTTGATTAGACAAAATTGGCTTTTTAATTCAATATTTACTCGAGAATCAATGACATCATATTTCTGTGTACTTCCAGCTTTAGAAAATTTTCTACTATATGCTCCATGTGAAGTCACGTTTCGTTTTTCGAATTGCTATGCATGTTTTTTCTCTATAGTAAAAGCATTCCCGACAGATAGATACATAGACAGACAGCGAAACTATTATTATAGACGAGAAAAATGGCCCGTTGAGGAAGGATACAACGGCGCTAGGTTGATAGTGCTGTCTATTTTCTCTAAACTAAAACCAACCCCCCCCCCACCCCAAAACATGTCTACCGTCCCATTCAACGAAATATAATTATATACTTTTTCCAGTGCCCGCCACCTCCCAAAAAATTCTACCCCCGCCCCCGAACATTTCAAGTACCCCCACCCCTCTCCGGGGAGGAAAAAGTCTGAAAGAAACACTGGTCGCATTTGTAGATCATACAAACTAAAGGAAGAACCTGGGTGGGGCTTAGCCCCTACCGGAAGAGATGCATGAAAAGAGCTGTGCATGCTAAACACTTTTTTTAAGATTAGAAAAAGTTCCTCACTCCAGGGAGGAAAAAGTCTGAAAGAAACACTGGTGTCGCGCTTAGCCACTACCCAAAGAATTGCATGAAAGAAACTCTTCACGCAAACCACTTAGATTAGACAAAATTGCCTTTTTATTCAATGTTTACTCGAGAATCAATGACGTCATATTACTGTGTGCACTCTCCGGCTTGATATTATTTTCTATTACATACTCAATATGACATCATATTTCGTTTCTGTATTACTATGCATGTTTTTATTTTGCTTGTGTTTTCTCTACAGCGTTCTTGTCTGATAGATACATAGATACATAGATACACAGACAGCGAAACTATTAGTATTAATGTTACTGTCAAAAGGGAAGCAGATTCAATATATCAAATTGCTGAATCTCAGATCAAATAGGAAACAACCCATAACTATACATTAAACAAGGTTAGGTTTAGGTTTCTGATTAGATTTGAGAGTTGTAGTATCATATATGTCATACTAATTTCATTATAGTAATCTTTAAGGTTACCTATAAATCTTAAATCTAGACACTAAAAGTTTAAACTAGACATAGGTATAACCTATAGAATCAAAGCTAAAGTACACACTAAAATGTGGCCTACTATGTTATTGATACTAAACACTATTGACATTCACTATATTTTAGGTACAATATAATAGACCTACTGACTCAAATAAAAATTAGACTATAGGATATCTAAAAAAAATAGCCTGCAAACAGATCTAAAGCCTCTTAAATTTTTGGATGCATTGTTTACTATTAGGCCTAACTCCATCTAATACTAATTGTTAGGCTAATAATTGATTAATATAAAACAAAAAAGGCATTATTTGATAACTGAATATTCCTACATTTACATCAAGACTCCACAAAACAGAAATTACAGCAAATGTACATTAATAGGATGCACATCTAAATGTATTGCCTGCATACATTAAGTAACAAGTGCAGAATAACAGGACTGGGCAATTATGGTAAGGGAGAGGGGGTGGAAGGGAGATCCCCTATTTGTTTTAAGTTTTTGAACTAGGAAGTTCAAATAGGTCAAGGATGTCTGTATGACCTTGTTCTCTTATACATAATAAATCCAACCTGCCACACACAATGAGTCTCTGGGGCTGCATCATTTGAAAAAAAAATTATTTAAAAAAATTATAAGTTGAATTAGAGTGCTTAAATGAGTTTAGATAAAATGAAGCATTAGACAGGCATTACTCTCTAAGTCACATAGACTAGATCTAAGCTATACATAGTGGTGACGGATGACTGAACACAATGGCCTATTTTTATGAGCTAGCTGACAATAGTGAGGAAGGTCAATGGAGACAGAGGAGAAGCAGATCGCAGAGGCAGGACTGTCATGGGGGACTGCCAGGAAAATTGCCAGAGACAGACAAAAGTAAAGGGAGCTTTCTAAGGCCACCCCATGTGCTCAAAAAGGAAAAAATGATGACAATAGTTAATACATAACGTTAACCTTATATTCTAACATTCATCTCCAAGACACACGTGGCAGACTAAGTAGAATTTATTTGTTTAAATTACCTTGGCATATCATGAGATAGTGTGGTCAGTACTATGCCCAGCCACCTTAGCCAGGTACCCATCACAGTTGGGTGGACTCTGGGATGTCATACAGACATATTTGATTAATGGCAATGCAGCGGTAGTGATCTCCACAGAACTTATTAGTATTTTACATTTTTTAAGAAAAGAGTTGCTCACCAATTAAACATAAACAATAAGTGTTCAATAGAGCCAACTCTTAGTGTTTTATAATACAGCAAATTTTATGTCACATTGAACTGTCAACATGAAAAGTTTTCAAGAAACTGGTCCACTAGAGGTGATCTTTTTTCAGAAATCAGAAATAGTGTACAGTAATGCTTCCGTTCACCGGAAATCAATCAAAATTTGAGAGAATCAAGAAAATAGCAACCTTAAACTGTTTATAATTTCGTCCACATAACTGAAGCGGTACTCAAGATATCAATATTTTAGAACACAGAAATTGAGTAAAAAGTAAAGTACAATGTACAGTTATTGGAGGTCACTCAAAACTTGAAAGTAGTTAAAGTATAAGATCTTAAACTGATATTTTGTCTACCTAACTGACACAGTACTCAAGTTATAGTGTTCACGAGGAAATAGAGTAAAGTACCATTTCCGGATTCCAAAAATCTTTCAGAATTTGAAAAAAAAAGCATGAACATATAATGCTATATTTAAATGTGAAAATTTGTCAACAAAACTGAAATGGTACTCAAGTTACACAGACACAGACCTATAGATAAAATAGCAAAACTAAATCTATCCGTCTCAGAGAGGTGCAAAACATGACAGAATTTTGTGACAAGGGGAAGAGAGATTCAGAAAATTTGACAACACACTTTTTCCATTTCAAAAACTTGTGTTAGGAAGAAAACCAAACTTTAGCAGTTTTTAAAAGGTTGTTTATTATATTATGTAATACTATTGATAGAAATTGAGTAATATAGGCTACTTAATGTAAACCTAGCTCAGAAAATACTTTAAAAAGAAATGGTTGTTTTAAAAAGCATCCATCATTTCATTCTAAAAATCAATAACTGCATTTTAAGAAAGGGGTGTGGGTATAAACCGAGGTGTGAAGTCATTTTGGCGGCGGAGGTCTGGCTTTTTACAATGATGTTTGACGATGGGGAATGAGGGAGGTAAAAACAACCAAATAATGTTTAATAAAATGTCATGTCATTTATTTAAGTTTAGGTCTAAGAATGACAATATAGACTGTCGCAGTTACAATAGGATTATATACAGATTATAGATCCACTATTATCCTATTAAAACTATAAATTTAATAAGGTCTACTATTATTAAATTTTATTAATAGTATTAATTTTAATTAATAGTAGGTTAGATAATAGATAGGAATAGGTCTCTGACTCTAGTCTAGACCAGATGCATAGCGAATGTGGGTGTGGACCGCACCGGGTGACACCTTTTAAGGGGGTAACACCATGGGGAAAAATTGCAAAAATATAAAGATGATATATGCTTTTTGCCAGTTCAATAAATGGTTAATTATAGTTAATCCACCTGTATTAGTATGTGACTTACTATTAACTGTGCACATTTGAAACTATCATTCGGGAGGGTGTGTGACACAAACTGCGACATGAGGTGCCGCACCAGGTGACACCCGACCTAGCGATGCCACTGGTCTGGACTATTTAGTAGATCTATATCTAGTATTACTAGAGACTTAGCAGAGTTTGGACAGTCAAAATCTGTGAATGATCAAGTCAGAAGTGTGAGCATTAAAAATTTTAATTTATCAATCTAAATCTAGTTCCTCAGGTTCCCAGACTTAAGCATTTTTTTTTTTTAAGTATTTGATTTGAATATCTAGTTAGTAGTACCACTGCCCTCCCCTCAAAATTTCTCACCTTTATGATACCCAGCCCCCACCTGTATCTAACACACCATAAAACTTCATCTCTCTGTAGGTAACATGGACTTAGTTCTTAGATCTCAGCCAAACAGTGATAGCATTTCTTAAGTAATTTATGACCCTCAGGGTCCAACAAAGAGAACAAAGGGGAGATCAGTATTAATGCTCTCCCCTCAACATTTTTCACCCTCATAATATCTTGCCCCCATATGTATCTAACCCACACTAAAACTTTATCTCTTTGTTGGTAACATGGATTATTGTTCTTAGATCTCAGCCAACCAGAATTAGTAGGCCTATCTCTTATGTAATGTATGGCCATCAGGTTCCAGCAAGGAAAACAATGCTCTCCCCTCAACATTTCTCACCTCCATGTCATTCATGTTATGTAATTAATAGCACACATGGCTTATCACTGGAAAGCATCAAGACAGATTAAATTAGCTAGTAACACACCTTTAAGCAGTGTTTCTTCCAGACTTTTTTCTCCGGGGGGGGGGGGGGCACTTGAAATTTTTGAGGGGGGGCCGTCAACATTCCCCCCCCCCCCCTGAAGAGATGCCTGGAAGAAACTCTACCTTTAACTTTTTACATCCAAGAATCCTAATTTTGGACAGCTAGGTATACTAACTAACTAATAATATCATATTATATGCCTACTGTAAACTTAAAGTAAACTACTAGACTAACTAGAAATCTAGTAACTAGAGTCACCGTCAGTAGAGTGTATGCCTTGCCCTATGACATAGGGCCTATGTTAATGATTTTTATTGTGGAGTAACTAAACTAGAGTAAACTAGAGTCTAGAACTCTAGATTCTATGACACTATATGCATATCAGCTAGACGCTAGCGTAAGTGCCATAAGGCATAAGCTAGAGACATCAGTTCAGTAATGAATGATCAATGATCAGTAATGAGTAATCAGTAATCTCTGCTACTCTGCCTGCACTAATAAAAAGTAGATAATCAGAGACAGACAATGTGGACATGTTTTAAAAAAGCTCCGGAAAACACCATGTAACTGTAAAGCATTTTAGTTTAGATCTTAAATAAAATGTTGCTCAAGATCATATAGATAGGTTACTACTGTTTACTGACTAGATATATCTAGAATCTAGATCTAGACTAGATCTAGAATCATCTAGATCTCTACGTTGTAGGCCTAGCAGAGTAAATCCGATCTGGACGATATCCTGAAATATCGACTGCCATTTTAGATATAAATAGCAACAGGTCACATGACAATAAAAATATTCCACCATTATTTCTAGGCTATCTAGAGGATAGGCCTTAGGCCTACATTAAAAAAGAAAATTGTTCTACAATATATTTACTGTTAACACAATAAACGTTTTAAAATTATAACATGTTAGTAATAGATTTATAACCGTAGATCGTTTTATATAAACACCTGATCGTGCACATTTAGCCTAGAATCTAGATCTAGGCTAATAAAAATAATAGCCTCGATCTGTTAAAATGACATTTTTGACCCAACTACGTTATGTAATTATTATATAAGTCAGAGGTGTATCCAGGGGGAGCAAGGGGGTTGGTCGCTCCCCACTGCGAGTAATTATAGCGGAGTGGGGCATTTTTTGTTTTTTATTGTTGAATAAAAATAAAATTCGATGAACACATGCAAGAACACATGCAAGAACTAAGAGTGACAAATAAGTAAAACAATGAAGGTGAATGAATAAAATAAAAAACCCACCAACACAAGAAATAACATAAAGTAACGAATAACTAAAATAATGAAGTTGAAATGGAGGCGCCTATACTCCTTTTAAGTCGAATCTGTAATCCATTTTAAATACAGGGGGGGGGGTGCAGGGTTAAAGTAGGATGTAAAAAATACACTGGTTGGATTTCTTATCTTGTGGTCGGTATATATAATGTCTAATAAACTGTTGGTTACCTTTGGTCAGTGGCGTAGCGAGGTCGGGCGTCACCCGGTGCGGCACTTAATGGTGTCATCCCCTCAGAGGCGTAGCGACTCTTCCCGAGGACAAACTTTTAATTTTCGATTTGCACCCCGCCCCCCCCCCCTCAAACTTCCGATGTGCACCCCCTCCCTCTCAAATTTTTCTCTATATATTTTACTATTTTTTCCTTTGGTGTCACCCCCCTAAATGGTGTCACCCGGTGCGGTCCGCACCCCCGCCCTCCCCGCTTAGCCTCTGCCTATGCATGGTGCCTATCAATATCATGTCTGACACCTTTAACTTAAATGCTTTTGATGTGGGGATATAAGTGATTGAGTGTGTCACCAGCCTCGTCCACGTCGTCGAGATGGAGCCTAAATTCTTTGATGTATTTCGCAATTTTTTTACTCCATAAAGAAAAACAACAAGCAGAATTGATAAACAATTTTAAGACATGACGACATACCAAAGTTGAAAGTTCTTGGATCCATTTTCACCTCAATACTACTCTATATCACCACAATAAAACACCCTTACCATTCTCATTTCGTGTTAGATGTAATATACGCAGCCCCCTCCCCAATTATATAACCAATATATTATTATTGAATAATCTAAGCCTTTTTTGTGTACACATAACCCAGATTTTGGCCTAGTTTAATAGTATTAACAATACTTTTCCCACAATCGCTCCCGCCATTTAAAATAGCGACTTCTTTGATTCCACACACCAGGTTCGACCGATGTAAAAGTAAAGTTCCCTTTTCAAACCTGACGGTCTATATGGCAAGTGAAGTAGAGTTCACTTGTTTCTGTGAAAACGGCATATGAAGAGATAGTGGGGTCAGCACATATGCCCAGCCGCCTTTACTTTCCCTAACGTGAGCTAGGTACCCATCAGAGTTAGGTGGACTCAGGGACGGTCTACTGACCTTGAAACCATCTCTCTACCGCTAGACCACTCCGTTCCTTCGACCGATGCAGTCGTTTAAAAAAGTTCTCTAAATCTTTAGGCCTCTTACTTACCAATAGGCCCATTCCCCACTGATTTAACGCGAATATTGGTTATATTCAGAGGTGTAACCCAGAATGGGACAAGTGAGGAGGGAGTAGGGTTATGAGGAGTTATCCCCCCCTCACAGATCTAGTATTAGGCCTAATCAAATCCAGGCATGTGATGTCATATATCTTGATATATTACTCTTTATCTGATAGAATTGTATTACAATGTCTTGTAGTGTACTTTAGGGTTTTATCATCTTATCAGTGAAAAATGTAAACTGTAACTAACTATAAACAACATACCTTTATTTGATGGTAACAAGGCAGCACTGAATATTTACAACCAGAGTGATAAAGTTAAAGGCCAAACTTGGCTTAAACTAAATTACTTTTTAAATCACCTAAGTAGGTATATTCACATTTGATATTAGGCCTACATTCTTTCTAAATTAATTCTTTTTATTGTATTTTTTCTATCGCCAACTTTTACTTTGGATAAATAAAATGACTATTTTAGCCCTTGAAAAAGTAGCCTTTAAGTTCAGATAAAATATTTATCATAAATGATCTGTGATTTGTCCAGAAATGTCTTATAACATTTGTTATTGAAGTTTTAATCATATTAAAACATTTCAGTTTAGTTATGTACATATTCCTTTGAGCAGTATGCTACCGATATAAAAATGTACACTGAAAGGCAAGAGTTTACTGAAATTAAAAGTTATCATTATTCTTTTCCCTGTTTATGGCCAAGATACATGAGGCATTTGAAGTAGTTATTTGTTATTATGATGTTGGCATATAAAGTGATAGCGTGGTAGCTATGCCCAGCAGCCTTTGTTTCACCAACGTGACGTCTTGCAATCAAGAGGTTGAAACCAACATTCGAACTCTAGACCTTTGTGCTAGAAGCTGAGCGCTCTATCATAGCAATGCCTTTGATAGGATCTTAAAAATATGAATAAAAAGAAATTTTAAAAAATAGCTGTAAATTGAAACTTACTTTTTTAAAAAATAGTGTGCAATGAAAGAAAGTCAGTTTAATTATAAAATATATAACACTTATAGTTGAAAACACTGTGTAGTTAAAACCCTAGTATTAATAAATAGGGCTAATAATTACTGTGACAAAAAAGTTAAATATTGCATTGATTTAATTCAACATTTTGTGACCTGGAGATTATAGACATTATACCTGAACAATAACAAAATACTAAATGTGTTTAATGTAATACAATATAATACAATATAAGCTTATAATTGCAGGCTGTAGCTTTGTTACAGTGAACTGTTCAAGCAGGATTAACATTGTTTACTGGAGGGATAAAAATAGTTTTACAACAGATTTAATGAGATAAACTTTGTTTTAGTACAGAACATAAACATTATTTTCTTTTTCATGTGAAAATATAAAATAAATATGTTGAAAGGACTGCTGTTAATTTTGCATTTATTTAAAATAGCCTCAGGTAATATTCAACAGTTGTAACCAACTGGTCATAATTTTTTTTAAATGTATACAATGTAAAAAATAGTTTTCTTATTTGCATTAGGTAAAATTTGCATATTTTATCATTTACTAACATTTCCTTCATACTAAACAATGTAAGAATTTTATTTCATTTTATGAAAATATATTAATACCTATAATTAAACATGTAATCAAATATGAGTTTGTATTGTTTTTCAGGGTAGTTCTTTTCAATAACATAAACATAAATTTTAAAAAGCTGTGCTAAAAATATGTTGACAGCTAAGGTTTAAAAATAAGAAGAATAAACATTACAAACTCTACTGTGTAAACTTTAAAAAAGATATATATATATATATATATATATGAACATATACATATGAACATAAACTAAACAAATGTGTGCTCTAGAAATGCATGTTGACAGCCTAATATATGACCAAAAATAAACATTATAAATTCTACTGAGCAAACCAAACAACTGAGAATTAATATATAAAAATAATTTACAAATTATGAAAACTGCAATACAAAATAAGTTTACTAATAGTAATACTATGAAACTGATTGTCTTTTATTTTATAATTTAATACTTTTCACTATATGTACAAAAAATTTTTGTGGTTAAGGGGAATGTTGCTTAGCAAGCAATAAACACATACAAAATTATTTCTGATCAAAGATGGCAACGTGTAGTGAATAAAATTTCAAACAAATCCAACACAAGTGCAGAAAAAATGTAACAGTTTGATTTTTTAACTGAGCAAACAACAGACTCTAAAATGTTAAGGCAAGCGCTGTATAATCCAGTCAAGAATATCATTCCTGATTGCAGAGCCATCTGGTTCTATTTCATAGTGAAGTTGATGGTAGCAGTTTGGATAGATCTGATTTTTAAATGTAGATGAATAATTATTTTAAGTCAAATTTTAATATATACATATATTTGGTTATATATCAAATGTGTACAATTTTTGAATAAACAAAGAAAGGTCATTAAGTCATAAAAAGATGACAAACTCACTGGTTTCTTAGTATAAAACACCAAAACTTAGTGAAAAAAAAATTAATTATTATTATTACAAACACTATTTAATAAAATTTTTAACTTGATAACTTTCCTTAAAAGTAAAAATTAAAAGTAATTGATGGCTTACTTTAAGACATTTGTCTTTGCTGGATGCCTCTCTAAACAGTGCCTCTGAACCCTTGGAATTAACAATCTTATCAGAGTCGCCATGTAGAACAAAAAAGGGCCATGTGATTGTTTTTAGTTTTGCTTCAATCTCCTGAAGCAGCAGAAGAAGTGAGTAGGCCCATCTATATGATAGTAATAAAACTGTTAAAAACCAGAATATAGTAAGAGAATCAAACAAAAATATATACAGCTATGCAATTAAAAAACAATCAAGTTAAAAAATAATCAATTAGGTCCAACTGCAACTTCTAGTTAGTTGGATAACTGATTAATTAGACCATCTGCTTATTCAGGCTGAGCCAAAACAAAAGATATTACAAAGGCATAATATTATTAATAATAAGCCTACAGTAATTTTTTAACAGAAAAACATTGATGTTTATTTGCACTTACTTTGCTTTCATTCCTCCATGGTAATTTAAAGGATCGTCTTTGTACTTCTGACACTGTCAAGTAAAAATACAATGTGTTACCATGTAGCACATTTGTAAAGGTTACATTTTTATACAATTACTTTACACCATGATAAAGGAAGAGAAAGCAGTTCGTATCTTACAATGCTCTTATCCCTGCTAATGTCAGCATCATCTAACCATAAAACTGGACACTGTGGAATTATTCTTGATGCAATCTTACCTAAAAATATCTGGCAACATATAAAATATTATTAGTTTCAACTTGAGAATAGACATTTAAAAACAAAATTTTTAAAAAGCAGAAATTAATTGTCTGGTATACATTTTTTTTTAATGTACACAAAATTGCCAAATGTTTTCTTTTAATTAAGTTAATGATCTTAAAATACTGATATGAAGAGAAAGTTCATCACAAAAATAAAACCGACCTACCCGGACTGGACCCACTGTATCCTGCTCTGGGGTGACACACGGACCAATGAGAACAACACCTCTAAAATACTCTGGATGATCCAGCGCAGCCAAAATGGCAACTGCACCACCCTAATTTTGAAATATGAACAAATTAAACAAAGATTATAATTGTACATTTTATTTCTACTTGTCAAGCAGCTAACATGATACTAATTGATCACCTAAGTAATTATTTACAAAATAAACTATAGATGCGTCTTTTAACTAGTATTAAGTTTAGACAATTTAAAACATGTCTATCTTACTATTCTTACCATTGAATGACCTATGATAAAAACAGGGACATTGGGGAACTCTTTTTTTATTGTGTCAATATGATCGTAAACATCTTGACTATAGTGTCGGAAATCTGTAATGTGCATGCGAGGTCCCCCACTTTGTCCATGGCCCTCTGCGTAAAAAAAGTGTGAAATAATGCACTTATTTTACTGTTTAATCTTTTCACCTAGATTCAATATTCATTGAAATTTTTATATCTTATAGAAAATCTAGAAATGATACAGCATAAAACAAAAAGAACATATCACAGCTTAGGCAAATACACATTGCCTGTCTGCTATATTATCAAAAGCCAGTAGAAAAAAAATATAATGGATAGACAATAAAATGGAAGAAAATTGTTTGACATGTTAGACATTTATGTAACTTGTACACAGGGAAGTCTAATATCACTACTGCAGGGAAGTTTAATAACAGGTTTTTGTAATAGCTTTGAAATGTTTGATTATTTAAAAAGTGCTCAATGGTGTATTAAACAGTCATTCATTTATCTCAATAGTGCTTTTGGTAAAACAAAGTATAAATGAGTTTTATAGAGTTTACAATAACAAACTAAGTGAGGATGCATGGTAAAAATGGAAACACTTGTGCACAGCATTTCAAGTAGCCACTCAGATATCTCTCACAGTAAAATACAATACTTCAATTATGTTCGTCCTTCATGCATTACCTCCCCTCAGACACACAAATTCACTCACAATAATTGACTTTACAACTACGTTACATGTTTTTATGGTATTCAATATTTAACATATTTTTTAAAAAATAATTAGAAGCAAAAAATAACTAAATATTATGTAAATATTTATGTCTTTAAAACTAAAAACTACTTAATAAAAGAAAAGCCACACATACTAAATGTTACTTCCATAACTTACCATGATCATGAGCGAACACGAACATATCTTTCTCAGTAAACATTGCCGCTAACTGCCCATACCACAAGCAGTGCTCGCCTGCTCCATGACATATAAACACAAGAGCTCTAAGAAAATTTGTTGAAAGTAAATTGTTTAGTTTTTTAAAGCAGGTAACTTATTTAAAGTTTATACTTTGTTTAGTATACTTTGTTTAGTATCAACCCGGCAGTGTTATTGCTAGTTTAAATATACATTGGCCAAACACATTATCAAAACAAAGGAAGATCTGTAAGCAAGACAAGCTACAGTTCAGAAAGAGATTAAAAATGTGTGGTGGATAAGACATATATTAGAGAACCAACCATCCGCTTTGCTAGACTAGGTTAAAGCCATAAATTGAAAAGAAAAAAAGGAATATATATAATCAAATTGAACTGGAAAAGATGAGAAAGGGAGATTGGTAATATTAGAACTACATTCACCTAAAATGGAGAAGACATCAACAATTAGTGGATAGGGAGAGGAGAGAAATAATAAAGATAAAAAATATACTGCTTTGCAGTTAATGAATATGAAAATGTTGTGTTAAGTCAATGTAATTATTATGGTTAATAAACACCTCATTGACTATTTGTGAAACTTCTCTATGTTGTGTTATTGTTATCCTTAAGGATCATTCAAGTATATAATGCAAGGGACTGTGGTGTGGTTGATCTTTTTTCTTATAAGGATGATATTTTGGATGGGAAGGTAAAGGGATATAAAGAAATGTTACATAACAATGCCTTTGATTTTATTTTTTTCGTTTACATTAACGTTTGTAATGGCATTGGGAAGGGATAGGTTCAAACATCTGCCCTCCGAGCATATTTATATAGGAAACAAATTAAAACCTCAACCACCTCAGCTAATAGATGGTGTATTGTTTAGAATGTAAAACCACACATACTTGGGAGATTTCAAATGTCTGTTCCAGTATTTACAAAAGATTTTGGTCCCTCTTTGATTGATGAAAGTTTTTTCAGATGCATCTGGACCATCTGCACTCAGCTGTTTATCTGACATTCTTGTAAAGTATGACTGATCTGTTTTCTTAAAAATGGAATTTTAACAAATTTAAAAAAAAAAAAATTACAATATAACATTTTGCAAGCCGGTGTAAAACACAATTTATAAAGATGGATTTTTTGTTTTTCCAGTCAACTTTGATTAACTTAACCTTGTGTTTTAACAATGTTAATTAAACCTGAAATGTTTAATATTATTGTTGTATAGATATTTTTTTTATTGTTATGGTATTTAAAAAATAGAAAACTGGAAAATACAGTACAGACAAAAAAAACCTCATTATATTAGGAACTAAAATAAATTGTGAAAATTCAATTTAATAAGGCTGTCTCAAAAAGTATTATTTCTCATTCATTTAGAACACTAGTAATTTAATACATTATTTTTTTTCAGCTAGGTATACAAAAAAAAGGAAAATAAAAACATAAATATGTATAAACTATTATTAACAGACATTTTAAAAACATCCATGGGATAGAATTAGCACACAAGGTCATTAAGGTCTATACTAAAGTTTACATTTTTTAAATGTTTATTGATGATTAGGGTGTAATAGCAAAAATCATTATGAGACTCAAAGTCATAAATATTAGATAAAAGACTTTAATTGGGTCACATCACATGCTGTGAACAGTAAGATTATAGTTACAAGGACAAAGTACACATTCAAAAAAGTAAATTGTTTTTAAAAATAGTTACTGTATCAGTAGGCCTAAGTAATAAAAGTATAAATATAATAATTTAATAGTAATGGTTTAAACTTTAAACAAGCAGAGAATAGTTTACTAAGTTTAGTCTAGATAAAAAGATGCATCAACTAAATTTTAATTTCCTTCTTAACAATTTTGGAATGATTAAAAGTTTCAAAAAGCTGCATTCAAATAAAAAGACAATTAAGAATTAAAGCTATGGTATTAGTAGGCCTATATATATAATATAAATAATAAATAGTAGCCTGATATTAGGCTATCAATTTTTTTTTAATTTGGTTAACACTAACAGACAATAATAATTATTAATAAATTAATTAATGAGGTATCTGATTAAAATGCTGATTAATTTATAAGAATGAATAATGACCTTTAGGCCTATACTATATAATATATTTAATATTTAGGGCCTATGTTGAAATATATTTAATATTTATTATAAGACAATATAAGATTAAGAACTAACATCCTTAACTTTTCTTTTGCTGTAATTGTTGTAGCTGACTACACTAAGTAAAAAGTATTGTTTTTTTTTGTTGTTTTTTTTTGTAAGTATTAAGTAATATTACTCTTAACTCTAGATTTCTAGATCTAGATCTACTAGCAGTGGCGTGCAGACCTATGTAGATGCCCGGGGCAAAATCAAGCGGAAGATGCCCCCATAAATACTTATATATATATATATATATATATATATATATATATATATATATATATATATATATATATATATATATATATATATATATATATATATAATTTATTTTAAAAAATGTACTTATCTTAATTGAGATGAAAACCTTGACTACAGCCAGCTAAATCAAAATGGAATGAATGGTTGGAACTTGGGAGAAGGGGGGGGGGGGAGACAATTGCGGGACGGGTCGTGGTGGGGAGGGGGGGGGGGCTGTGATGCACTACAAAAGAGTCTCATCCGGTATTGTATTACCCCCGGGACCGCAGGGACAAAAACGCTGTCCGTGTCTGCAATTAGGGCGTCAGATACGCCTATATTAATGGGATGTTTCTCTCTTGGCCTGTTTAGGAATTCCTATAGTGTAACTAATACAGGTGAGAGTGTGCATTGAACTAGAGATGTTTCAGATTTTTCTCTCTAAACCACTTGGTCAAAACGTCAACTCTTTAAAGAGATGGGTGATGCTAGCTAGATACTCTCAAACTATCTTAACCTTGAATATAACAGAAGTGTACCTTGGTTGGCTAAGGGGTCATCCATTTATGACGTCCACACATTTTTGGGATTTTGGACCCCCCCCCCCCTCTTCCCTGTCCACAAACGTCCACTTTTGACGGACCCCCCCCCCCCCCCCCCATCCCGTGGACGTCCACACTGACTATAAGTTTTTGCATAATCTTCTTCCACTATTACTCAAGCTACTGCATTAAGTGTGTATATACTCTGAGTGTATAGAGTATTACAAATACTGGTACAAATGTGTTTTATTGTCCTTCGTGTCCCACACCTGAACAGGGACAGCGTGCTAACCCCCCCCCCCCCCCCATCCACCCCTCTCCCGTCTCACAACTGAACTGGGATGACCCCGTCTACCTAGAGAAGTGGTCGCCTGGTATTTGACCTGGGATGCAAATGTGGGGACACTTGTAATTGGATATCTTATTGTATTCCAGGTTAAGCCAGGGCATAGACCCAAGCTGGGTGGTGGGCCAGAGAGATAGGATAGTTGAACTTTAGCTTCGCTAGGAAATATTTTTCTTTCACACTACCAAAAATAATGTTAGATTTAATGTGTGGACGTTCACATTGGGCCAACCCCCCCTCCCCCTGTCCACACGCGTCCACAAAAGTCAATTTTTTTCGGACCCCCCCCCCCCCCGTGTGGACGTCATAAATGGATGACCCCTAAAGCTGCCAGCTTAAAAAAACGTTTCTACATCGGACTGTGTTTAAAAATCCACTATGCTATGTCAGACCCTCCCTAGGCTTGGACGCGTTTTCACAAATTTAACACCCAAGTACGTCTGTCTAGTTCAGGTGGGGGATAATCCACTAACGGCTTCCATAGCCTAAAACCCCACACCGCATCCCCACATTTCATTACATCATTATGGGCTCAATAACTCTATAGATAGCTCTACTATTAACTGAAATAAAACTGGCTCTGCGTGTGCTCCCAATTACTTTAAAGAAAGCTCTACTCAGAGTTAAAAACTTTAACTTTAACACTACTTAAAGCATGCTCCTCCTATTTGTAAAAATCAATATGGGCGCAATTATTCTGAATGATATCATTACAATGTATCGAAAACAATATGTTGATTCGTATTCTTAAGATTGACGCTAATGTGTATCAAAAACATTATATGGGCATTCTTATTCTTAAGTATGCTTATATAATGCATGAAAAAAAATATACTAATGGCTGTCAGTGGCTTAGCTACCGTAAAGCTAGAGTAAGCAAGGCATAGGGGCCCAAGGCAAATAGGGGCCATTTTCCTTCTTTTAAAAAGTTAAAACTTTTACATTGGAATTTTGATATTTATTTTATATAAATAATTTTTTAAAAATTAATGAAATCAAGTTTTTTTTTCTACTGTAGAAATAATTTAATTTAAAAAAGGCCCCAAGTCCTTTCTTAGTGTCCAGGCAGTGGCATTCAGTGTGGGGGAGGACGGGCGACTAACATTAACATTGTTAATTTTTGCATAGGGGACCGAAAATCCTAGCTACGCCACTGAATGCTGCCCATACAATTTAACAAAAAAAAAGTTATTACACTGCAAATGGCCATATATTTCACCAAAGATGCCCCAAAAATTTATAATAATAATATGGGCATAATTACCCTTTGGATGCCCTTAAAATGGATAATAATGAAGAAGTACATTAAAAAGTAGCTTTAGAGATGCCCCCAATGTTAACAACGATGATTGGTGTAATTACTGTTGCATGTCCTTCGAGTGTAATACATGAATATAAGCTTAATTACTTTCAAGATGCCCCTACAATATATAAAATGAAGATGGGCATACTTACTGTATGGATGCCTTTAAAATGTATTATAAAGTGAAGTGGGCATATTAGTAAATGCTCATAAAATATATTATAATGAATATACGAATAATTACTTTAAAGATGCCCCTATAGTGTATAAAAATAAATATGATTTAATTACTCGACGGATGTCCTTGAAAATGAGTATAACGAATACGCGCATATTACTTTAAAGATGCCCTTACAGTGCATGGGAATAACTTGGTCACAAGTACTCTAAACGATGCCCCTACACTATACTAAATAAATATGACACACATTTATTAATGGAATATCATTGACTTCCGTAGGACTACCCTTCACTGATGCCCGCCATTTCTATATAAGTTTTGCCATACGGACAGTGTAATGTTAAACCGGTTGACAGACGATTGAGTGTTACAATTTTTTTGAGTGAGATCGGCAAACATATGGAAAGTTACGATGACACCATGACACGACATATCACAACAGTTTTTAAATTACCAAAAAAAAAAAAAAAAAAAAAAAAAAAAAAATTAATTAATTAAATTTTTTTTTTACCTCCGCTGGATGCCCCCCAGTGGTGGATGCCCGGGGCCTGGGCCCCGTCCGCCCCCCCCTCTGCACGCCACTGTCTACTAGACTCAACTAGAGTGAGCTCTAGATCTAGATTTTGATATTCTGATCTGTAGTGATCAGTGATCTATAAGTATAAACTTATAAAAACTATTTATAAACTATTTAAAAAATTTTCTCCTAAATCTAGTTTTTTTTTAGTAGATCGAGAACTAGATCTAGATCTAGATCTATATTCTAGATCTAGATCTAGATTCTAGACTAATACTTCTACTAGATTCTAGATTGATTAAGTCTAGATCTAGATCTCTAGATTTTAGATTTTAGACTTAAAACGTTAAAATCCTGGCAATATAAAAAAGGAATAAGGGCAGAAAAGCAAAGCTTACACGCTGAAAGAGCCTAAATTAAAAGTAAATTTTTCTATGCCGGGTTGTAGATGTACACACTAATGTTGTTAACAATAGAATCTACATAGTACATAGTGTAGAGGTTTTAGACTTTAAGTTTTGTAGTTACTAACAGTTAGGCTATCTACATTTTTAAAAAGCGGGAGTAATCTCCCCTGACAACCCCCCCCCCCCCCCGACATAAGTCATTAAGTGGTCGTCCATAAACGAAGTTACTACATTTTAGTTTTAGTCTATTTCTCACAACTCTTAATGTAGCTACCCCCCATAAAACCCACAATTTAAAGAAATGAACATGTTTTTTTTTTCTTTTATTGCACGTCACCAAAATATCTGGCTTCATTTCTTCGTCGGTTGCACGTTCTGTATGGTGTTCGTTCTACAAAACCTGATTTCTTTAAATTTATTCAGAAATCAAAATGATTATATTGGCACTTTTAAGTAAAAAAAAAACAGCAACAAAAATAACTAAATAAAAAACAAAAAAAAAACCCACAAATAATTAAAACAAACACCGAGTGTAACGAACTTCTTAAACGCGCAGCACACGCAACATGTAAAGAAGACCATAACATATCAGTTGAATCATCACAAACGTACTCACTGACCACTGTCACCAGCCAGCTCACTTGAATTAGAACGTACTCACAACTTGCCTGAACCTTATTTAAAACCATATGACTTTCGATTGCGACAGACGATATAGCCGCGAGTTGCTATAGCAACCAACGTTGGTTCGTTGTGACTAAAATAATTAGTTACCAATCTGTCCAGACAGATAACACCACATAAACATCACTGCGATAAAAATAAAATGGCTTTTAATGTAAACTCCACACGTAAACCCTTTACACTTAAAATAAAACAGCACTAGAAGATAACAGATGTTTTAAATAATACAACCAGTCCGCTCCAGTATCGCAAATGTAACATGTGACGTCTGTAATACGATCTGAATAATTAGATTGACAAATCAATTAAAATATCGTTACTGAAAAAATAGAGATAATTTAGTGCCAACACACAGAGTATAAACATCAGTAGGCCTGTGAGTGGTGTAGGCAGATGTATTATAACACCCAGCCTGACAGCTGTCTCACGTTATGCAACAGCTATTTGCGGACGGCGCTCTCATGATGCTTTCATTTCAAAATTTTGAATATTATAATAATGCAAGTTGATCTAGATCTAATCTCTCAAAATCGTTATTATCTAGACAGAGGCCTATATATGTATATCTATATCTGTATATATAGATATATACTATATACACATGAGGATAGCGTAGTCGGATGGTAGAGCTCAAGGCTGCTGTTATGAAAATCTCGAATTCGGATCTTGGCTCGAATCCATAGGAGGCTCCTGAGCTCACACAGCTCCGATAGGTACCTGGCTCACGTTGGGGAAACTAGGACGGCTGACCACATTATCCCCATGGGTCTTGGGCACAAATGGGATTATAGTCTCTATTACCTATAAATTTAATTTTAATTATGCCTATATATTTATAGGCCTACGCCTAAACAAACTCCTGCAACGACACTGATGCCAATGCCATTAGGATAGATAGTGCTTTCTGAATATCAGGCTTTATATTTGCTAAAGATAGACAATAGTACAAATTAACAGCATGCAAGATGGTGATGTAAAATTAGAGAATAAAACTATAGACCAGATGGTCTTCTATATTTTGGGACTGTGGTCATTTTATATGGAGGAACATTAAAGTAAAAGCTGAATAAACTTTACTTGTCTGGCATGTGACCATCTTAGTTCAGCCTGGAAATCTTCATACATCTTTAACAAAGCTACTAAAATACGAATCTTTACTCCCATGTGAAAGCAGCCCACATACCCAAAACAAGCAGAAGAAACAAAATCCAGACAACCATATAAAAATGCCTAAGAAATATATTAAACATACAGTGGTATGACAAAGGTGTAAACAAAATTTTGGGAGACAAGAAATAGATCGGATACTCTGTCTCAGATAGAATATAAAAACTGAGCCACACGTGATACAGTGGATCATCCAAGAAAATACAAAAGTAAAAAGTGGGTGCCAATGTCTACGCTCCAGAAATATGTATGTATAAAGGTCTACAGGTGTCTTTTTAAACATATTGAATTTTAACTTTATTTATTTATTTAAAAAAAAACAACCCATTGTCTTAGTAAACTGGTGTGCAATACATGAGCAATTCATGTTTCTTATAGCAGTAAAAAGGCCACAGCTTATATTTCACATTATATTGAGCTTTTTACTTTCTAAAAATTTGGGGCTTTAATAATGTGTTAAAACGATAAATGTAAACCAGACAAACAAATGAAAGATATAAAAGCGGTGATGTATAGTTTGTGTATATTAATTTTTTATTCAACATAACCTAACAATAAATGTTATATGAGCGTATACATCTTACCACAATTGTTAAGGGTACACACATGTTAGTTTGTCCAATAGGCAGACGACAGCTGTCAAACAAAATTATCTGAACAACAGCCATGGGGCAGGTTGTAATAATCATAAATATTTCTATTAATGCTAGATCTACTGTACAACAACTCCCTTCCTCCAAAAGAAAAATGTGAAACTGCTTTTTAAATAAGCTGAAAGTCTGTATATCCGGAAGCAATTTAAAAAAAAAAAATTAATAGAAACTTGCCTAATAGAAAGGCTGACAAAAATTTCTGAAAAGCAGATGAAATAACCTTTCAGTACAATGACAGCTATTTAAAATTTAAAAAAATGTGTAGGCCTGTGGATAATACATCAAAACCAATTCTAACATCTCCCAAACAAGAAATTAGTAGAGGATCTGATTCTTCACTGAAGAAAATATTAAGATCTTAACAACTCATGCATAAAAATAATAATAAGATGAATTACCCTTACAAGTCTTAAATTACATAATGAAATTACTGTTATTTAAAAAAAAAAAAATTAAAGCTGTTCTCTGTAATCTAACATTATTAAATACCAAGGAAATAGATAAAAAAATAATTATTTGCACTGAACCATTCAAACCCTATGGAGCTCATCTTCTCATTATCATAGATTTTAAATTCTCTGTGGGGTTTATTGCTGAAGTATTTGAAATAGTTTTTTCAATGAGATAATCTCTGAGTTTCTGTCATCTGGTGCTAGGGCCTTGTCGTGGCTTGGCAGCTTGCGTACCCTGACGACCCCCAGAGCTATACCAGCGGGAGTGTTAACTCCTGGCAGGTTCAACCAAGCTGGGAAGGTCTGCGCGGGTAGGGGTCAGACGAAAGCTAGCACCCTGGTCCTCCAGGTTGGGGGTTGAGCATAAGGTCAGCAACCTTATCTCGTAAAACAAATTACCCGCTACAGAAACGCAGACAGAGAGAAACAAAGACAGCTCGGACCAGGGGAAAAATGGATCTCCCGATGGAGAATTTATGAAGCCGGGTGGTGAAAGCCAATATGTATTGGAAACCACCAGGTCGACCACCATTATTTCCACTAGGACCACCATCAATATTGGAGCTTGGAATGTCCGCACGATGTACGAAGCTGGAAAAGCAGCCCAAGTAGCAGCAGAAATGAGACGCTATAAAATAGCTATCCTGGGTGTCAGCGAATCAAGGTGGACTGGCTCAGGACAAAAAAGGCTGATATCAGGAGAGCTACTGCTGTACTCAGGTCATGAGGATGAAAATGCACCACATACTCAAGGAGTTGCACTCATGCTATCAAATCAAGCACAAAGGGCTCTCATCGGATGGGAGGCACACTGCCCGCGGATCATAACAGCTACCTTTAAAACTAAAATAAGACGAATAAACATGGACATAATACAGGCCTACGCCCCAACAAATGACAGCAAAGAGGAGGACAAAGACGAATTCTACAACAGGCTAATGACCATTATCCAGAACCGCCCAAGAAGAAACATCCTTATACTCATGGGCGACTTCAATGCTAAGATTGGAAGCGACAACAGAGGATATGAAGAATGTATGGGACAGCAGGGTTTAGGTGAGATGAACGAAAACGGAGAAAGATTTGCTGACTTGTGTGCCACAAATAATTTAGTCATTGGCGGTAGTCTCTTTCATCATAAAAGGATACATAAAGCTACTTGGGTATCACCCGACCTATCTACAGAAAACCAGATAGACCATATATGTATCTTAAAAAAGTTCAGGAGATCACTTCAGGATGTACGCGTCAAGAGAGGAGCTGATGTTGCTTCAGACCATCACCTACTGGTAGCTAAAGTAAAACTCAAGCTGAAGAAAAACATGTTGGAAAACAAAAGGAAATACAGGTACAACACAGGCCTGCTAAAGGACCCATCTAAACTCAACGAATTTAAACTTCATATGTCCAATAGGTTCCAGGTGCTACAAGAACTAATAGAAGAAGAGACGATGGAGGAAACATGGGAAAAAACTAAAAGTATATTAACATCAACATGCGAAGAAGTGCTAGGCCCTATCAAAAGACAAGCGAAGGAATGGATATCAGCAGATACCATGAAAATTATTGAAGAGAGAAAAAGAAAGAAGGCAACATTAAACAACAGCCGCACACGGGCTACGAAATTAAAAGCACTGGAAGAATACACCGAAACGAACAAAAATGTAAAGAAACACATAAGGAAAGACAAACGGAGCTATTTGGAACTGCTGGCAAGAGAAGCGGAAGAAGCACTGTACCATGGTAATATTAGGGACGTGTACAATACAATTAAGAAGATATCTGGTAAGTACAGTAAGCCAGAGAGGCCAGTGAAAACCAAAGATGGAAAGACAATACCTGATGCGGAAGGACAGATGAAGAGATGGGTAGAACATTTTGAAGAACTACTGAATAGACCAACACCAGAGTGCACGCAAGACATACCACCAGCTGAAAGTGACCTCCCTATAGACTGCAACCCACCTTCAAAAGAAGAGATACATAGAGCTATAAAGCAGCTGAAAAATTGGAAGGCTCCAGGAATAGATGGTATACCGGCAGAAGCACTGACAGCAGATATAGAAACTAGCACCACACTACTATACACACTCTTCAAGAAAATCTGGGAAGATGAACAAATACCAGAGGAGTGGAAGGAGGGACTACTCATAAAGCTTCCAAAGAAAGGCGATCTTAGTGCATGCTCTAACTATAGAGGGATAACACTTTTGTCCATCCCAGGCAAAGTCTTCAACAGAATATTATTAAACAGAATGAAGGAAGCCATAGATCCCCAGCTTCGAGATCAACAGGCGGGCTTTAGGAAGGAAAGGTCATGCATAGACCAAATTGCTACCCTGCGCATCATCATTGAACAGACCCAAGAGTGGAACTCATCTCTCTATATTAATTTCATAGACTATGAGAAGGCCTTTGATAGCCTGGATAGGCAGTCAATGTGGAAATTGTTGAGACACTACGGGGTGCCACAGAAAATAGTCAACATTATTATGTCTTCATATGAAGGTCTCAAGTGTAGAGTAGTGCATGGCCAACAGACTACAGAGGCCTTCCCAGTACGGACCGGAGTAAGGCAGGGTTGCCTACTTTCACCATTCCTGTTCCTACTGGCCATAGACTGGGTTATGAAGATGTCAACAGAGAAAACGCGAAACGGTATACAGTGGACATTGTGGAGCCAGCTGGATGACCTGGACTTTGCTGACGACCTGGCCCTCCTTTCTCACACACAACAGCAAATGCAGGATAAAACCAACAGGGTTGCAAATTTTTCTACAAGCCTGGGTCTGAACATCCACAGAGGGAAAAGTAAAGTTCTCAAAGTCAATGCATCAAACAACAACCCTATAACACTGGCAGAAGAAGCCCTAGAAGAAGTGGATAGATTCACCTACCTTGGAAGTATTGTTGATAAGCAGGGTGGGACAGAAGCAGACATAAAAATAAGGACGGGTAAGGCAAGAGCAGTCTTCAACCAACTAAAAAATGTTTGGGGTTCGGGAGATTTAACCCTTAGAATAAAAATCCGGATCTTCAACACACTAGTAAAACCTGTTTTACTCTATGGAGCCGAGACATGGAGAATAACTGCTATAAATAAGAAGAAAATACAATCATTTATAAACGCATGTCTCAGAAAGATCCTGCGAATTCGCTGGCCTAAAACCATCAGAAATGATGTTCTATGGCAACGGACAAATCAACTGCCAGTGGAAGTAGAGATCCTCCAGAGAAAATGGAAATGGATTGGCCACACACTCAGGAAGCCTGTATCCAGCATAACAAGACAGGCCCTCACCTGGAATCCACAAGGCAGGAGGAAGAGAGGCAGACCAAGAAAGACCTGGAGACGTGACCTGGAAGAAGACACCAAGAAGATTGGATACACCTGGGGACAGTTGGAGAGACTAGCCCTGGACAGAGACGTCTGGAAAGCTCTTGTCAGCGGCCTATGTCCCAGTAGGGACGACAGGCAAACATGACATGATGATGACATGAATCTCTGAGTTTAAACAGGTAAATGTTTTTTTTTCACATATGGACAATATAAGCATTTACAATTTGTTAGAAACAATTGTCACTCAGTTTCTAGAGTGATTCACAATAAAAAAAAACAACCAAATTCTAACTAGATTAAAGGAAATCTCAGTTGCTGCCTTCTGTGCCTCCATCTTCCAGAACATTCTCCTCAGAGGATTCAGAGTTGCCTGCCATCGTGTCTGTGCTGTCTTTAGGCTTGTCTTCAGGCTTTCCCAGGCACGTGATGTGATAGACAGTGCTGCCATCTGCCTCTGCTGTCACTGCTTTAACTAGAGCCTCCGTACCATCATCCATTTTTATAATCTACCAGGGATGAAAGAAATGTAATTTCAAATAGTAGGCGCCATGTTAAAACAGTCCCTTCAAGTTCTAAATAACAAGCAAAAAAAAAAATGAAGGAATGGAGGTGGCCTCTTAACGTACTCAACTAATCTGCCACCACTATCTACGTACGATTGTTAACTGTTTTTCCTTTAATCAAAACTGATTTTACATAGTGTATGTATCTATTACTTATGCTTATGGGGAAGAAGTTTTAAAGGAAACGAGCCGACCCGCGGCATATCATACGCCGCTATTTAGTTGTTGTTTTTTCTACTTTTCAGTAATTCATAATTTGTGAATTCGACACTACCAACGCTGCCACTGAAAATATTTCTTTAAAACACTATAAGTAGCTCATTAAGGAAGATAACCCCCCTCCTTCCCCCCCCCCCCCTCCGTTAAAGTAAACTCCACTTAGTTACCCCCCCCCCCCCCCCCCAACGTTTAAAATAGTTTCAAACTAAATTATCTGCCCCTAATAGTCGTCACTAAACCCGGCTCTGTTGGTAAACATAAAGAGTGAACCACAGCTCATCAGACTATGTAGGGGTGGGGGTGGAAGGGAGCGCGTTTACAGCTTGTTTTCTAGCGTCTCCCAGAAGAGAATTATATATATAGATGTGATGCAAGCTTAATTTCGAGCAGGGTCAAAAGCAGCCTTTTTCAATCAACTGTGGCAAACCGACCATATCAGATGAGACTTTGGCATAAGATCTGCATATATACAGCTTCAAGCTATAGCATCCCTTCATTATTGCCAGCAACCTAATGGCTCCAGTCAGATGCACTTCTGACGAATGGTTATAGACAATGATTCCAGACAAAACAGTCTACTCTTTTAACGCCTGCAACTAACTGATTTTGTCATTGATGTAGGTTATATGGATTATTTTAAATATTTTAAAAAAGTTTTGTGTTTGAAAAAATTAGCTTTTTTTTTGCTTGGCTTTAAGGGAATTTAAAATGTTTTTATGCCCAGACAGTAAAGGATTCCACATATAAATTCTATATTCACAGGCCATAAATACTGAATTAGCTATTGATAATTTTACCTGTCCTATTTGTGTTCCCTCTAAGATTCTGTGAAAGTCTGTACTACTAAGTAAAGCTGATTTTACTGGACCTTTGCTATTTTCACCATCGTCATCCTGCTACAGAAACAAATATTAATATTTCTTGAGTAAATAAGTAACCAAAGCATTTCTAGTACAATCAGATTATGGTTGGATAGGTATTGCATGGTATAAATCGTAAGGGTTGACAATGTTGTGGTATCTAAGTCATATTGGGAGGAGGGAGAGGGCAAGTCAGATAGTAGATTATGGCACAATTGCAAACCCACAAGTCTTGAGTTTGGATACCTAGTTTGAATCAGGTTCGCATTTCTGATGGGTACCTGACTCACTTTATGGTAAAAAAAAGGTGCTTGGCCATAGAACTGGCCACACTATCCCTTCTTGTACTGAGATCACAGAAACAGATTAAATCAGCTTCATCTGACAGCTAGATAAGATGGGTAACAATAATTTTAAGAGTCCCAATGGAACATTTTTGTAAAAGTTAACAAATATTTAAAGGAGTTATCAGTCCCATTTCAATGGAGCTAATTGTTAAATATATTGAATCCTTGTATAACAAACCCAACATAGCATCTTCTCTCCATTACATTTACAGAGCAAACAACTAATTATTACATTCTTTTAAATAAAATGTCAAACTTATACATTTCTTGCTGAAAAAAAAACTAGTTAAGCTTACTTTATGTTTTCTGAGATGCCTGTGACAGGACCCCATATCATGGAAGGTGGCGGAGCACAAACTGCAGCGGTAAGGCTTCCGGCCATAGTGCTGGTTCTCATGGTCAACAAGGTATTGTTTGCGGGTAAATGCACGGCTACACAGCTGACAGCGAAATGGTCTTTCACCAGTGTGCTTGATCATATGCCGAACCAAATCACCTATAAGATTAAAATATACAGATATAGAAAAATAAGTAAAAAACCCATTTTAAAAGGTAATTATAAATTCATACCTGATTATTACAATTGAATAGTAAAAGAAAAATATCCATTAAAGGCTTTTGTTATCTTACATGCTTACTGTATTAATAACCATTGTATTATAGTTTAACATTTTCTTTCAAGCAATGCTGTCACTCTTACTGTAATACATAATTTTTTTTTGTATCAAGCAATACCATTTAATGTTAGATCCAAAATTCACAAAGAACCCTTGATTAGATATTAAAATTCATAACATTAATCCTAAAATATTTGCCCCAAGTTCCTTATGATTTAAAACTTGAGACTGAAATCAATAGTTTTTAGTTTTGGCCTTAAAAAAAATGTGTATATATACATACTTACACTGGCATACTTTTCACATTAAAAACTGAAAACTAAAGAATTTAGAAAAGTTGAAGAAACAGAAAAAAGAAATAGGTTTACATTGAGTTGTTATTATGAAAAAAAAGAAAAAAAAAGGAATGTTAGTTTTGTGGATAACTTCTGGATTAGAACTGCGAATCAAAACTTTAAGCTCACCTTTGGTGTAGCACTTGGTTGAGCATTCATTACAAGGATAACTGGCTTGGCGCTTATGACGCTTTACATGCACCTCTAGTTGACATTTTTGTCTGAAAGCTTTTCCACACAGATCACACAGGTGACCTTTCTTGTTGCTATGTCGATCCATGTGAATTTTCAAGGTACACTTTTGAGTAAAACCTCTACCACATATTGTACATCTGAAAGCAGCAAAAAATAAATATATATGAATACTTAACACTGGCAAGTTTAAAAAGAAAATTATAGGTAATTCATTTAAAATATTATATAAAATGTAAATTAAAACTGATTTGGCTAGGATATTTTTGTTTTGATGAGTCACAACAAAGAAAACTATCAATAAATTATCTCACTATGAAAATTAAATTTAGAAATGTATATTATTTTACTGATATGAAGAAGTAAAATATAAATTAGTCATTTACTATTTTATGCTTAAAACAAACTTCCTTAATTTCCCAAGTATTTACTGTTGGTTAATTAAAGTGTCAACAAACTCTTACACAAATGGGCGTTCCCCTGTATGAGTGCGCATGTGTATCTTAAGTGACCTTTTCTCAGTAAAACTTTTACTACACTGGCTGCACTGGAAAGGTTTGAGGCCCACATGGGTGGCTTCATGTCTGTCTCTGTTGGCCTTAGTTGTAAACTTTCTGTCACACTGGCCACAGCTGTAGGGTCGGGCACCTGTATGGGTTCTCATATGGGCTGAAAAATACACAAGGAATATCTGTAAACATTTAAAGCTCTTAATCTTTAGAATAATGTAGCAGTTATTTGATTAATAATAAGATTTAATTCAAATAATGAAATATCTTTGTAAAATAAAGGATTGATTTCACTACTACCTGCAAATTTAAAATGTTTTATTTTTTTACACCATGATAAAATGCAGTAACAAAAAAATATTAATTACATTACCTGACATTGATGATGCATAAATTAAAACCCTATGGCAAATTGGGCAAGTTCTATCAATAACCTCTGCCTTGACCCCATCAGCCTCATCCTTAACCTTTTTCCTCCTCCCTCTTTTCAGTTTCCTGTCTTCTAGAATCTCATACTCCACAACATCATATTGGGTTTCAACTGGCTGGCCATCGTAGCTTACACCAGCCTCCACAGCCACTGAATTATCAACCATGTGGGCTTGACTCAGTACCTGAACCTCACCATCTGAAGTCCAGATAACATTTCCGACGTGCTGAACCTCAATGATTTCCTCCCCTTCCAGAATTTGAACAGTCTGGCCTGAATGTTCATCAAAGGACTCATGCACATCAGCCACAGACACAATAGTATCCACTGAAGCCAAATTCTTATCACACTCTTTTGGGTCGACAATGGCACCAGTAGATCCAGCTTTCTTGAGCTCTTCCTCAAGTGCAGAGATGATAGTTTCTATATCAGAAGCATTGCGGGGTGTTAAATGACTCTGAAGGACTATTTGCTGTTCGTTTCTTTGGGGTTCAATATCAGATTTAAAAACTGATGATGTCGGCATTTCAACATTTAACTCCACAATATTGTTTGTGTAAGAACGTTGATCAAGCTGCTCATCAGCATCAATGACAACTTTATTACTGTCTAAGCACTGAGGGTCTGAAGGAGTCATATCACCAAGTGATACTTGCAACTGGAATGTAGGCATGAGGTTGTCATTTTGAATGTTTTGATGATACATTGGTACCTCACTTTCAATATCATGGGCTTCATTTGTTTGTTGCTGGTCCAAGAGCTCATTGTCACCTGAATGTTTTTCACTAAGGCTTTCTGAGATCTGCATCACAGTGTTACCAACAGGGACTATTGTAATGTTAAAGTCTTCATCTTCTTCAGACACCTCTTTCTTTACACTAGGGTAGAATGTTATGGAGTCTACTTCTAAATCATCTTTTCTTGCCTGTGAAATGCAATCTTTTTTAATGTATTCTTTAGAATCTTCCAGCTCAATATTTCGGGAGTCTCCAAATTTGTCCCGGATGACCCGAGCAGCTGAAGATGACCTTGTAGTTGGTCGCCCAACTGGCCAAATTTTTTTAATGGGTTTCGATTTTTCAGCCTTGGATGGGCTGGTTTCAGTTGCATTGTTTGTGGGGGGTAATAAGGTTGAGTTTTGTGCAGACAAAGCATCTTGGTTTACTTTGAAATAGCTTCGTACTGATTGCAAGTCCTCATCAACAGCTTCATGAAAATTTTCACCAGATGGTTCAGGTTCTACATCTGTCTCACTTTTTCCTGGAGTATTAGAGCTATTATTAGCAATGTGCGTAAAATCAAAATTATCAAGGTCAACTTCTGACAGATTACCCTCTGTACTTGAAGCTTCAGATTCTACTGAAGGCACTGTCTCGTAATAGTCTGCTATCTTTTTTTGGTTCGCTAACTTTAAGACATGATACTTTCTGTAACCCTTTTCAGCACATTTAACAGGGGCATAAATTGTTATAGCGTTTCTATCCAGCTGCTGAATGCGATATTCTTCCAACTGTCTCTCCCTAGTATATTTTGCTACCTTGGAATTTCTGCGAGGTGTATCCACAAAGTCACCTTTGCCATTTACAGCAATTTTCACAGCAGAGGAAATAGTTTTCCAGAATCTCCAGATATCTTCTTTGTCTTCATTGTTTAAAAAGCCAAGAAGAGGCAAACTGTCTGTAATCTGAAAGAGAAGAAAAAGGTTTTACAAAAAATATAGCAAGAAAAATGTCATTAATCACCAGTAGTGGCAGTAGCTTCAAACTGTTTTATTTAAATAGGTGAATTATAGACCTACAAAGAAATAATGACTTAACTAGTAGAAATAAACACATCTATATATACTCTACTACTTTACTTTTGTAAAATACAGCAACAAAATAATAAAATTAACAATGTACGCTAATACTTTGCAAAATACACATGAAAACTAAGGAAAAATAAAATGTATTTTTTAAAAAAAACCTAATTTCCTTACAACTTAGACAGGAGCCTAAATGTGAGAGTACTAATAATTAAATATGATCTTGAAAAAATATGACAAAAAGATTGTGACACTTGTTGTGGAAAAAAATCTGCCTCATAAAATTTCACCACTCTAAATGATGAATAGCCTAGCCGATTGATTCTCATATATTTCTAGACTATAATAATAGAGATGATAGACTAGAACTTAATAATAGGCAAACTGAAGTACTCATCTAGATCAAAATCAAATTTCATCAATGATGATGAGTGATGAGGTTAGTGTATTTTTAAAAGATAGTTATAGGTCTGTAGCATATGACTGATATGTAATATAAAGATATTATATATTTATTATAATAGGCCTATTATATAGGCCTATTAACTATTGGGGCCTATTTATTTTTTATTTAATTCGGGGCCTACAGTTGTATTGAATCATTAATTTTAATGGTCTAATAGTTAATAGACTAATAGTCTAAGATTATTGACTATAGGGCCTAGGCCTATAAGCCTATATTAATTATTTCTACAGAAGGCCTATACCTAATTATAATCCTATGATTTTCATTTCATTGATTGAAAACTTCTGTTGGTCATTAAAAAAACCCCACTCACTACTGGAGTTAACTAGAGTCTGTTTCTATAGCCTTTTTGATGAGAATTACAGAATGATTTTTTAATTAAAAATGTATCAATAATAGCTAGAACACTAGTAAACTAAGCTAATTTAGCATATTTTAACTTTCTGTGCAAAGTCATTATTACTGAAAAAATTCCAAAGTCAGGTCAGCCTGTGGCACCCTCCACTGAACTTGACAGAAGGAAAAAAAACTTGACCTGTGACCTTCATTAAAACAGAATTTGCTTTTTTTAATTTTTTATTTTTAGTAAACATGTACTTAATCTTACCCAATAAGTGATAACCATTTGAAAATTAATTTTAATTACTGTTGTAAAGTGGGATAAACAGCTTTATAAACACATGCTTTCTTGAGGGGGTGTGGCCCGGGTGTGGGACATCGCAATTATAACTTTATATTTCTGTGTTTTATGACTATATTTGTTCACAATCAGCATGCTATGTTTTTAAAATAGATAAAATTGATAAAGGGTAAGTATACCAAGTTACAAAATCTGCAATCTAACTAATAATATTAGTTTCAATTTAAAAAAATAATAAAAACGATCATCAACAAAGAAAGCGTAAACATTCTATTTTTAGGTGTGACATAAAAAAAAACAGTCATAAATCTAGCCAAATGATTGGATTCTTGTGCGGCACACATTTTCCCGCGCCTCGTTTTCACCAAACAAGAATATAATAAAATGGCATTATTACTTACACCCTCAAAAGCATTGTTTTCACCCTAATTATATTAAACAATTCTATTTTTATTTGATAGTAAAGAATAAGATGTTATACAAATTGTATCTTATGATAAAGTTATTGTAGAACGCACCTGCTTTATTTTATTCGACTTGAAATGCAAGCTAAGTCAGCGTGACTTTCTCTCGGCGGCCTCATTAAAGACAAATAAAGAAATTAGGTCAAGCTGCCATTATTAAAATGTTAATTATTCGCCCCGTAAATACATGGGCAGTTTCGAGTAAAAATCTATCCGATTACGATACAATCCTTAGTTTTAACTATCATGTACTTCATGAGAAAGAAATGATTCGATATTTTCTATGGCCGCCCAAAACATGGGTGCTTCAAAACCCCGAGAACGAGACTTCACGAATCGAAAAGCCTAGTTTCTAGTAGTAGTAGCTACTAGACTTAACTAGACTAGTACTACTAGCTACAGTTAGAGGTCTTTACAAAGGCAGATATTATAAATAAATAATGTTAAATAGAAATAAACTTGCACTACTACTAGACTTTATAGCAAAATTATACAGATGATAATAAAGAAGTTTTATTTGACACTGGAAATTAAGAAACTCAGCTGGTAGTGGAAGGGTAGGCCTATCGGAAACAGGTGACAAAAACGGTTCAACCCTTTTTGGATACATTTTCCCCCTCGAACAGCTATTACGAAAAATAAAATATAGACTAGACCTTCGTTTTGAAATTATTTCTAGCATCTGGAGATGACATATGAGGTGTTCTCTTTGCCATTATTCAACTTTTGACATCATACTAAGAAATTCTTAGCTAGAGCCCCTGTTGACTTCATAAATTCATCATTTTTACTATTAGTCCTGCTTAATTCCCCTGATGAATCAAGATTTTCGCACAATTAATTAATAATTAATTTTAAGTCCACGAAATAAGAATAGGCCCATAATATAAAGTTTATACAAAAAAACTTCTTGATAGAAATCATGAAAATCAAGACAATGTAAATATAAATATTACTTCTAGCTTTAGATCTATGTAGAAATCGCTCAAAGCACATCTTCTTCAAGGCTTTATTCTGGGGTTGGGGGGGGGGGGGGGGGGCATCGGTTGATGCTGGTTTGGCACAACACAAATGTGACATTAATCATTTCTAGGAATTCCCCCCCCCCCCACACGCACACACAAAATATCCCTACATAAATCACGATACAAACTTAATAGATGATTTTTAAAAATAATAATATAAAAAAAAACCGAACATGTTGCATGTTTCTTTGAAACCTTCGTGGATGGAGGGGGTATGACATCACAATCTAGGATGGAGGTAAGGGGGGATGGACATCGTTGGAAGATTCGGGGTAGGGGGGGGGGGGTCAGAAAGTATGGCCTCATTTTTATTTGTTTTCAGTTTTTTTTTTAAAATTGAAAAACATTAAATAGATAGCTATAAGAATGTATTTACCCTTATGCTGACCCATCTTAATTAATTTTTCAGAAAGAATATTTAAAAAAAAAACATATAGCCTACAATTTGGAGATAGGCGTAGTCAATTGAGTGTGTGTGTGTGTTGGAGGGGGGGGGGGGCTAAAATGTTTTGAAATCAAACTATTTTTTTTATTAGTTAGTGAGATTTAGTGAGGGTAAAATATGCAGAGTTACCCTTCCGGACCTGGAGGTTAAAAGAACAGATGAATTGTAGTTCACATGTTTCCGTGACCTCGGTATATGAAGGGATAATATGGTTAGTTCTATATCCAGCCGAAACTATCACGAGCCACATAGGCCTGCTCGTCAGAGCCGATGGAATCAAAGGCTTCACGTGGACTCGACCGACCTTAGGTAGCAGTCGTGCTCTCTTTCGTCATACCACGCCTTCCCATGGTGAGGGTGGAACCTTACAGATTTGATGGTCCATATTACAGACGGAATTGTTTCGTCATAGGCTCATAAAATTTGTGGTCAGCGCTATGCCCATTCGCCTTTGATTTCTCTCGAAGCTGGGTGGACTAAACTACATCTATCAATATCATGTAGCCTACCCATTTATGCAGAGAGGATAGAAAATTAATATAATGTTATAGGAATTTGGGACTGTCAGTATTAAATTTTAATAGTGTAGAATTGTAGATAGATCTACATACATTTTTCGAAATTCGGGACTCTCACAACTCAGCATGTTTTAAACACAACAAGAATATATTGTACACTAACAGTAACAATCATTAACATTAACAGTCACCAATAACTTTTAATACATATTTCCATTTCAGTTAGGCGAATTTCCAAGCCTAACATTTACAAATGTATTTGTAATTTACCAAAGTAGTTTCGGCTTCACAGAATAAAAAGAAGTAGGCAACGGATTGAAAGTAAACAAACGTAGTTTGGACATTTCAAAACAATTTGTTCTGGCAAGTTATGAAAAAAAACCGGAAGTATTAAAAAGTTAAAACCGTTCAAAAATTCAATTTGTCACTTTATAAAAATTAATTTTAATTTAATTAAAACATACTTTTCTATCGTCGGGTCAGTTTGTAGTTAGACTAGCTACTAGATCTAGATCTAGATCTAGTAGGCCTACATAACTTTAAAGTTTAGGACTTTTAGGGGTCATCCATTTATGACGTCCACAATTTTTTTTGGAACCACCCCCCCCCCTTGACCACGAAAATCTACTTATTTCCCTTATAAAAGTCCATACTCGTCCGCAAAAGTCAATTTTTTTCAGACCCCCACCACCCCCCACCCCGTGTGAACGTAATAAATGGGTAATCTATCGTTTTAGCGTAATCAATTCGGCTGCAGTAGTAATGTGCGGGAGAGGTAACTGATGAATATATTCGTTTAAATAAGTATATTTAAGTCAAATTTTACAAAATATAACAGATAATTGATTTAAAATAACAATTAGTGACTAAAACAATTTAAAATATCATGAAACTAACTTTAAACAAGGTGTTTGAGATAAATATTAGTAGATAAAAACAGCGGCCATCTTTCCAAATAAAATTTAGAGTAGTTTCCCTTGACAAAAATGTCTATTCGTATGTATGTTGTGTTAACTTTGTTGTTCAATGTACATAGCTGTCTTGTTTAATATTGTAAGTAGGGCAGAGGGTCGTCTTCTTATCTTTAATTTCAATTGAAATGAAGGCGATGTATGTATGTACATCCAAGATCTCAAAAACTTTTGGAAGGTCCAACATTTATTAAACCCTTTTGTACTGATTAACTTGTCAATTTAAGGTCGTCCATATTCTTCATAAATGACGTTGGACTCAAAATATGGGACGGGGTAAAATATTTTTTTTTAAATTATGAAGAATATATTCGTTTTCGCTAGAAATTGTGATTACGGGTTCGGGTATAGTAGAACTGCGATATATTAAATTATCTTCTTGCTTTTAGTGACGATTGGGGGGGGGGGGGGGGGGGGGTGAATTCATCGGAAAAAGTATGACGTCATTTATGGGTGATGCATTCAAGCCTAGTTGTTTATTTTGTCTGTAGACATTAGTCTTAGGCCTACACTTTTTTTCTGAATTAAGATTATTGTGGTTATGAAAATAGGTTTAAATTTCAATTAGTTACATTTGAATACCACATGTTACTTTTTTTCTTTGCCTTCTGTTTTTTTTTTTTTTCATAAGTTTTTGATTTGTTCAGTAGTCGATGTTTACCCCTCCCCACCATCCAATATTACAAAAACAAAAAACACCCACTATATAGTGATATCTCCCTCTAGAAAAAACTAGATCAACCTATAGTTCGTAGTAGAATTAGAATCTATCTCTTATTCGTCTGGTTTAAAAAAAAAAGAAATACGTCATTTTTCTCAACCCCGCCGTTTCATCCCCCACTAAGCACAACGTCACCAACTTCGTGGCGCGCGTGACGTCATTTGTCATTAGGCTAATGTTAAAGAAAGAGGTACCGCGTAATTAAAAAAAAATCTCAACAGGCACTATGGCGTTGAGACTTAAGCGACGTTTAGCCTGACGAATAGATCTAAATGACTTTAGTTCGGTAAATTATATTGGTGTTTAATTCATTACAGTGGCATGATGTTCTCCCTCTACTATACAAATTCACGTGCTTTTAATTTCTGCAACATTCTGCCCTGAGACGTTCGGCTCTAAAATGCCCGATCCCACCTATAAACTTCGTCTGTCCATTAAACTCCACGCAAAACTTGTGATCAATATGTGGACATAAACAGCGCTAGTGGTAATGACAACAGGGACCCCCCCCCAAGCAAGCTCAGCTCTTAAAGGTGCTCCGCACTTCAGAGGCGTAGCGACCCTTCCCGGCGCCCGGGGACAAACTTTTCGATTTGCACCCCCCCCCCCTCAAACTTTCGATTTGCACCCCCCTCATCCTTTCAATTTATTTTTCCAATCCATTTTGGCGCCCCCTAAGGTCGGCTCCCGGGGACATATGCCCCCCCCCCCCCCCTCGCTACGCTACTGCCGCACTTCATAAAAGACAAAATTGATGTTCAGATATTGTCGGACTCTGGCGTTTTGCCGACAGCCGTATTCCTAACGCACCGTCTTAGAGGCTGTCCACTGCTAGCACTATTGACTATACTGAACTCAGGCCTATACTGAGTTCTGGATTTACATTAGCTGCTGTGGTATTAAGAGTTGATATTTTGTTATGCCCCATGTCGTGAAACTTGCTGTTTTGTCCAATTTTACCTGTAAGTCACTAACTGTTTTGGACTCTTGTCGAATATTGTTGCCAGGAGCAACTTGGTTTGAGCCTTATTTCCAGAAGTTATTTCATTTGGAGTCAATATAATGCGGCCTATTTTCGTCGGTAGGCATTTAGTGGCAGGCCCTTTTTGGCGGGGATTATGTGCTGAGGTTGTTTGACACCGCTTAGGACAACAGGCTTGCAATAGTTATGCTCATTTGTTATGAGCAAAGGTATGCATGAAAACGAATGCTGTATGTTCCTCATTTTCATTGAGCACAGCTTTATAGAAGTCTTCTATTCTTGACGGCACGCATCCCCATACCCCCGATCACCCCTTCATTATAGGTCATAAATTGCGGTCCTGCGTAAGTTGACGTCACATTAGCATAGCATATGTGACATCGTTTATGGACATCCCCATATAACTCATTTTGGGTGTTTGGTATCAACATTTTGACAACAAATCAACAAAGGTTATTCAAAATGTATATTGGAGGTTAGGACTTGACATCTACTATAAATGACATCACGCACTTAAGGGGTTGAGTAACTGGTTTTGAGAGGACGTTTTACGCGGGAAAGGGGAGGGGTAAGAAACGTGAAACGTTAAGTATTTCGCCTAATACAAAAATGCTGAAAAAAAATTATTTTTCGTTAGAATTATGGCTTGACTTTTTAACAGGCAGGGCAAAAAGGTAATTTTCGACATTACGACTATTTCGTGACGGCGAAAATGGGCGGGGGGGGGGGGGGGGGGGGTTAAGGTGGAGAGAGAGGTAAAAAAAAAAACATGACGTCATTTATGATTAAATCACTAATTAAAGAAAAAAAAACATGAAAATATGAAATTTAGCAGCAAACAAACAATAACAATTAACTCAAACTAATATTTAAATAAACATTAGATATGTAGTGGTAGCTCTATTACTATTAGTGATTACTCTATAAAAATAGGGACTTTCTTAATGTATAAAAATTGCATCTTATAATAATAATTCTAGAACTGATGTTTATTGTCAGTCAATTAAATTGTTTAAAGGGCAGAATTAAAAAACACACACACACACACACACACATGCTTTGTATTTAAACACAAGACAATCGTATTTAATAGCAAACATCAATACATTTCCATACAAATAAAAATTAAAGGGAAATGACTCAAAATAATATTTTCTTAAGATGGCCGCTGTTTTCAATAGCAAATTTAGTATCTGGAACATCGTTGTTAAACCTTAATTTCATAACATTTTAATTGATTTAACTCTTAAATGAGGTTTGATATTCAATTATCTTTAGTATTTTAGTAAAAAATGCAGAAATACACTCATATTTAAGACATATTTGTTAGTTACCTTATCCCTACATTACTAGTGACGGCCGAATTGATTACGCTAAAACGATAGATTACCAATAAATGGATGACCCCTTAAATTAATAATTAAAATAATTAAAATATTTTAAAAAAAATATTTATTTATTAACGAGTCATCATAATAAATAAATTATTAAATAAATAAATAATATTAAAAATTATTAATAATACATTCTAGATCTATATCTATTAGATTTTATAGATCTAGAAGCCTGGTAATGTGTTGTTAATATCAAATTAATTGTTAACTAAGTCAGTATAGTGACACAGTTTATTAAAATAAAGGCCTTGCCTTGGCCTTTAATTAAGACTTAAGATTTAAAGTTTAAAAGTTTAAATTACTTTAATTAAATTAAATGCATGGCATAGTAGATTAGTTAATGATTAACCTTACACATAGATTCTATGAATAGATTTCTAAATTTTAATCATTAAACTTAATTTATAGCCCTAAAGAATATATAGCCTAGATCTATACAATTATGTTGTATTCTAAAGAATAATAATGCAGAGGTGTCGCCCATAAATGACGTCACACTCGTAGAGGGGAGGGGGGGTCCGTAATTTTGTGACGGGTGGGGGGGGGGGGGGGTTCAGATGGTGCGACGTCACACTTTTGCATTATAAAAAATGCAATGTTAGAAAACGAATATAAGATGTTATTTCGCGTTTTAGAAAACTGTTTAAATAAATTGTAATAGGAATTGATTAAAATACTCTATTTTGACAGAGTTCAGACAAGATTTTGGAAAAATGTCTTTGTTTAAAAAAAATTCAACTGCAATTTTGAGGGGGGGGGGTGTAGGCTGAGGTGTGATGTCATTTAGAGGGGGGGGGGGGTGTCTGGCTTTTTGTGAGGGGAGGGGGGAGGTAAAAATCGTCAAAAAAAGCGTGACTATATATGGATGACCCCAGACTAGATCTATATCTATACAGTATACAGCGTTTATTCCAAACTTTTTTCTCTGGGGGGCGGGGGGCACTGGTAAAAGTATATGTTTTCTTTATAAATTCCATCTCAGCGAAGAGATGCCTGGAAGAAACTGTATCTATATTTTTATTTTGCACTATGTCCAGTTCTCATTACCAGATTAAATCAATCTATCTAGCCTTATTGTTTAAGTGTCACGTGCTTGTATGCTTCTAAATATTATAAATAGTATTTCTGCTTTATTAAAAAACTCACTGTACACAAATGAATCAAAGTCTAGAATTAATTTGCCGATCACGCATTCGTGACAGCTGCTTTATTAGCAGTTAATGATCTCTTTGGAATAATGTTTTTGTTTCCAATTATACGTGGGAATACACGAGAATACAGTAAATTTTTGGGATCATGTCCAGATAAGCCCCACCATTAATGCAAAAAGTGCATGGGGAGAAAAGATTCGCCCTGCCATTTGTGACCTATTTCTGATGTTTAGGCATTTGAATATTTAAACACACGTCATAAACACTTCTTAGGGATCGTTATGCTTTTTTTGGCCTTTTTAATACCCCTTCCCACCTACATCACACATCGTCACAAAAAGTCACCCCCCCCCTTATATGGCGTCACACTCAGTTCTACCCCCCCCCCTCCCCGTAAATACCGATTTTTGGTCGAATAAGTGACGCGTAGCCCGAAAGTATTGAGTTCGGTCTCCACTTTCTCGAGTCTTTAGTGTTTTCTGGGGCCACAAAGGCAAATTTCGCCAGGACCAACTTTAGTTTTCCCCAACATGCTGTTTCAATCTGTTGTGGCATGTTCTCAGTCTAAAAATTATGTGTTAATCTTGGCGTGTTAATTTTTAATATGCGTCTTGTTTTGTGTAATTTAGGTGCGTGTCAGTCACAATTGAAAATGTTTGCTTTCTTCTTTGTATTTCTTTTGGATGTAGAATATTTTTTTGGCTATTTTGCCCCCCCCCCCCCCCCATCCATTTTATCAAGCTAGTCCGCGTTCTTGTTTCCTTGTATCTGGGATACAATGTCATGCTGCAGATATTGTCTAGCCTTTCAATGGATGTCCTGAGTGATTAATTTGAGGATTTTATTAGACGATTAATTATGATTATAGGGTTTTAAGAGACTGCAGGACAGATTTGGCATCAGTGAGAAAGACTATTTGTTTATTCGGGATCTAGAGTGACCTGTAGGGTTATCTGTATCTTCTTTCTATAGCCTCTTTCTCTGCCCTAAAATTACCAGAAAGGCTGCCAGTTGCAATAGTATTTTCTTAGCTTCTCTTGTTTGCCCAGTTCATAAGAATTTCAACTCCGTCATTTTTGGTGGCATCTACAGCTGAGCCATGCAGGGTACTTTTCTTTTATGAGCTTAGGTTATTTTCTTAAATTCTCATAGTCAGAGTAATTTTCTATGGTGTCCATTGAGTCTGATGATTAATGAACGGTGTTAGAACCAAGTCGGAGAGGGGTTTTGTGTTTTAATAAAATTTAATTGTTTCAGGAATAAAATTTTCTTTTTCTTATTTCTTTTTTAGCAGTAAAGCGCTACGCTGTTACATACTATGAGCACAATAGCCTGAAATTGAATCATTTAAAGGGGAAAGGACCTTCACTTTCAAGCTTAAGGGCCTCGAAAAATGGGTGGCCCTAGGCTGCCGCCCGGCCAACCACACCCTTAATCCGCCACCGGTGCTGTACCACTAGTACCAGTGATGTATCGACGTGGATGAGCAGATGACGCTGGTTGAAAACAAAACAAGAAATGTAATCATAAACAATTCGACAGAGTTAACCATTTAAACCTAGATAACGAGTGGTGAAGTGAGCTGATTGGTCCACTTCCTCCACTTACGGATCAACACGCTAAGTTTGTATGTTGCGTGTGATTGTGTTAATGGTTTTAATACCAATCTCCAGCCGTCGGGGACACGTGTATTAATACTTGTGATCTGAATGTAAGTAGGAAATCTACTGTTTACTAACTTTCTAGGTTTTAAGATAACCCAATATGTTATTTTAAAAAAAAATTCTAATGCTTAGCGATTAATTCTCCATATGAATATTCGTTTGCCTACTTAATAAAACGTCGATAGGACGAATTCTAGTTTAATTTTTTAAAGCTTGCTGCCATTGTCTTAACTATAACCCCAACAATCTTCCGGATCATAACCCTAATCCAACAAGATAAAAAAGGCAATGTAATCTATTAAATTTATTCTGCTGTCTTCAGTGGCGTAGGCAGGGGGGGTATGACCCCCCCCCCCATAGACCCCTCGGTATATATATATAAAGTATGAGGGGGGGTGCAAATCGAAAGTTTGAGGGGGGGGGGTGCAAATCAAAAGTCTGAGGGGGGGGGGGGGTGCAAATCAAAGCTTGTCCTCGGGTAAAAATTGCACCCCCCCCCCCCTTGAGACGATCCTGGCTACGCCACTGGCTGTCTTATCAAATTAATACACCGAAATGGGTCCCTGCATTGTAGTTTTGGTAATAACGATAAAGGAGATAATATCCCTGTCAAATAGGTTCTTGAGTGATAACTCCTGGTCTTAATTTGTTTTGAAGTAAACAGATCATATTCAATTTTTCTTCAAAATTCAACAACCAACATTTCGTTTTGCTGTTCAAAACTGATTAAGAAGAGGAAATACAATTAAAGCTACACTTGTCAGAATGAAATATGAGACACAGTTTCTAAGTACATAGATCACCGTGCATCTGGAGTCCACTTCCTTTTTTAACACACGTGATTTTAACACAGACCACTGAGTCACCCATTGATTGCCATCAACGTCTGCCTACCTAGTAAATTCTTATCTCTACCACTTGTTGTAGTTCACAAGGACAGCTTCTTCCCGTTATCTTGATTGAACTGAGAGGAAGCATTTTGTCAACTCGATAATTATCAAAATAAACAATTGAACTACGTAACTAAACAAATATAAACAATTTTCTACTCAACTAAATAAGAAGAGCATTTATAATAATAAAAGACAACACTCATCCGTTCTGAATAATTACGTCGGCCTAAATTAGATGATGTTGACCTATATTAGCTGCTTATATTGAAGGAATATGACCATTTAGTAACGAACACTTGCTGATGCTGTCAAACGCTAAATGAAAAATGGCATTTTATTCAGTGGTTTGTCTATTATCAGATGTTAGTCATACTCATTATTTTTTTTTTTAAACAACAGGCCCTACTTGCTTAGTTAGCTTACATATTAATTTATTTCAGACAATAAATCTTTAAGTTATGAAAAAAAAGCTTTTCATTCAAATTGTCTTTTTATCGATCAAATTACCTAGCAATAATTCCCGAATGAGCACAGGGTTGAAATAAAAGTAAAATAAAGTATGATAGAAGGAAGTCATTTGCTCTTTCCGAAACGTTATAAAGTAAATAATCCTTTTTAGATCTAGCGATTGATTGGCCAGATGAAGTAGAGTTCATATTTCTTTACCTCGGTATATGAAGGTAAGGTGTGATCAACACGTTGCCTTTAACCGCCTTTACTTTCCCTGACATGTGTTGGGTACCCATCAGACTTAAGTCGACTCATGGATGTTCTACTGACTTGAACCCAGATTCGAACTCGTGACTTTCGGGTTAGCAGCTTAGCATTTTACATAATTTTTAGCCACGCCGTCCCACGTCTGTAACATTAAACACGCGCTTAATCTTTTTCCCCAGGGATCTCTCACTTCACTAGAGCAATACGAGATGCGAGCAATCTTCAGCAATGGTAGGTCTCCATAACCCTTTTCATCAGTTTTAAACTAAATTATAAAAAAAAACTCACCTCTTAAAAAAAACAAAAAAAAACAACAAAAAAACAAAAAAAAAAAAACAGCAAAAAAAAAAAAATAAATAAATAACAAAAACCATTCTATTAATTAGTGTTACTTGTTTTTTTCCTAGGCGTGTCGCAAGTGTAAACGCTATGTAACACAATAATACAATAAAATAGTGTTTGGTTTTTTTTATATATTGACGTATTCTTTAACAGTTCATTATATATTTGATCTAAAATAGTTTCAAACTTGTAAATATCCAGCAACAATTACACTACTGCACCTCTCTCTTACAGATTTTTTTCAAGGAACGAATCTATTCAAAGGCATCTATATCTAATCAAGCACGTCGAATGTATCCGTTCTCAAAACAACGCCTTCTGACTTTTCTTGCATGCAGGAAGCTGAACAGGAAACAACTTGCCGTCGTTCTCATGGTGATGTTTATTTTCGTCTTCGCTGAACTGGGTTTCTTCGTTAGGGTCTCATCGTCAGACAAGAACCCAAAGTACACGCCCATCGCGATTCAAATGTTGGATCAGTATTTTGAAAATCCACTCTTTGCCCATAAATTTAGATTTTTTTATAAAGGTTTGGGGATTGACGAGGCAGAGGTGTATATCCATACATTAAAACTGCGAAGAGGCATCATCAAGCAAAACTTGAATGAAAAAAAAAGTCTTATGGAACTCATTCACGAGAATCCTTCTAGTGTTATTTTACAAATACAGATAGGTGAGCATTTGGAAGCGGTTCGTGAGTTTTTAAAATCTTTAACTCAGGTTAAGTATACGAGCTTAACGATCCTTGTTTTTGTGATAGAAAATTTCAATCGTTTGACGGACATTTTGATTCGGAATTACGACTTACCATCCCCGTTCGTGGTCCTCATCAGTCCTTTCTGCGCCCGACTGAACCTACTGTGGTTCCCCGGGGATTACCCCAAGTGCGCTCAGATGGACCGCAATTCTTCCATCCCAGTCCAACAACCGTGCGAGAACAGCACCAGTTGGCAGCGCACGCGCAGTGCCAGAGCCGCTCACGCCAAGCACGCCTGGACGTGGGGCGCCAATATGATCTACAGCGCCGTCCAGAACAACCACAACTTCACCGGTTTCGTCGTTCATTTCGACGACACGGATATACTCTCACCCGACGCGGTTTATGTATTACAACGCCTGCACGACATACGGAAAACAATGTGCCCGCTGTGTGCGATATCTTTAAAATCTTTACTCCCACCCAATGAAAATGGCAACCTTCATCACGTGACTACAAAACACAACACCGTCCACGCCGCAGCAGTCCGGTCGAGTTTTCTACACGGGTTTTCCCTGGGTCAGAAACTGTGGGACGCCTTGAAAGTCTGTTCCCCTCAGTACTGCCAGCAGGACCCTTTCAACTATAGGACTTCCATCGAGCAGGCGTTGAATCACGGGTGTTTCGCCCAAAGACCGGGATTTATCCTCGCCACCTCCTCTACCCGACTTTACAACCAGATCTGTTTTGAAAAAGAAATTCGTGTAAACAGAGAAGAGGATTTATACCACAACTGGACTCCTGATGTGCAATCGATAATACTTTCATATTCGTCAAAAATTCGCGTACAAAACTGCAACATTGTTAACCCGCCCGTAGGTGCGGACTTATTTCCGGGCCATCTGCTGTTCCCGAAAGTGATACAGGCGGATAGTTTCGAACAAGAGATTTTAACAGGCAGTCGACTTGACCTCAGGGTGTCGGGGAAGGTGGGTGATGGCTGGGTGGACCCTCTAGATGAAAAGTTGTGTACTGAGCACTTCCTAGGTTTTACCACGTCTGACAACCACACTTTCTAAGTGTTATATGTATATGTCTTATTTGATGTAAGTCGATGAGATTTCAGTTATCATTAGTAGGGTACAAACAAGTTACTCATGAGAGAATAAACAAAACTACAATAGTAAGCCATTCTTTCCGTGAACAAAAGATTCATGAATAGTGTTGGCGCGTCTAGTTTCTAAGTGTCACTGTTAGCAACGAGTGTCAATGAAATGAAGTTTTGTCTTGCCTTGTAAAAGGTCTAAAATTTTGTCTGTGCACAAAGAACTGATCTTCTGAACTAAAACAAACACTAAACCGTGTACTATAATAGAGGGGGAGAACTGCAATATTTTGTGTGTGTGAATATTTAGACTTATTTCCCCTGGCGAAATTAAAAATACTTTTTAAAAATGTACATGCTTATTTAAACCTATTTTTAAAACATTTTCCCCACATGTTACTGGTAATTGACGCACATTTTGCGAAAATGTTTTTTGTGTAACTGATTGTTTAGTATAAGTATACAGATACAGTTTACTGGTCAGTCATTTTGATGCCATCTGTTATGGTTCCGTAGGTATTTTACCAGGAAGAAATCAAACGTTAATATCCTAATTCGTCAACACTACAGACACAAATCTAGAGGGATTTTAGCTCTGCAAGTTTCGGCTAGTCGCCGTGGTATAAGGTTACAATAAGTTACATGGATGCAGAGACGAAAGATTCACGAGTTAGGTGTCAAGGGCATTTTGTCCTCGATGACCGGGGGGGGGGGGGGGGGGGTTAGAAGTGTCCCTCATGGCTTATGGCTGACAGCAGCAGACGCCATGACATCTATCAAGCTAGTCTCTTGAATCTTAGGGTTTTTTTTTTTTTATAAAAACGGTTTTACTTCATTGTATGCAATTTTCTTGTGGCTTTTTGAATGCCATTACATTCAAACTTGAATGAAGCTACAATGACCTAGTATTTTCAAAGTTGCAGGTCAAAAGTTATTTTAAACCACTTGCACTAAATCAGTTGTCTACCTTATAAAAAAACTATATCCTGAACACATCATGTGCAGTGTGAAGATGTCAAAAACACAAGTGAATTAAATGGAACCACGTTAACAAAGATAGCTTTAAGTTTAAGTAAACTTGCTATTTTTATACGGCTTGTTATTTTTTTTTTTTAGATTCAAGATTTCAAATTTCTCGATGAAAATAAAACTCTCTTTCATGCCATTTAATTACGCGATGAGCATTACAGTGTCAGGGTCTAAAAGGAACAATATCACACACAATAATCTGAACTTTAAATTGAAACTCACAATTATTGTATTAGATAAAAATAAAACTTAAAAAAAAATATTTTAACGCGAGATTCGTTCATTTCATGATGCTTTCTTTAATTAGTTAAACTTTTATATTTTGTTTTCGCATTTTAAAGATGTTAGTTTTACTTGTGTTGGGGTGTAGGGTGTCTTGGGGTTTCATTTCAGCGGGAGGAATGTGATACTGCGCTGGGTTTAGAGCCATAAAGGATGCATCCCTTTATGGCGTTCTCAATAAAGATTCAATTTTTGACCGTTTCCTTCGTTAACACTTTTCCACTTTCTTGGACAACCTTTGTTTTATTTTGATGATTTTCATTTCCGATGCAACAAAAAAAAAATTGATACCGAGTATTAAATATTGATTTTGTAAGGAAGGGCAAGTTTAAAAGAGAAATAGTTTTATTTTTAGTCATAGGTAGTTAAACTTTAATTAAACATTCGGCTAAAGATTTTTATTTCTTTTTATTAATTACTCGCTAGCCCCTCGCCTCCCCTAGCGGCTATCACCACACCCCCCTAAGCGCTATCCCCACATATCCCCAAGTACTAGCCGACATCTCTCCAAGCGCTATCCCCACACCTCCCCAAGCGCTAGCCCGTCATCTCCCCAAGCACTAGTCCACATCTCCTCAAGCTCTATCCCACATCTCCCCATGCACTCTCCCCAAGCACTATCCCCATATCTCCCCAAGCACTAGCCCACATCTCTGGAAACGCTATCCCCACATCTCCCCAAGTGCCATCACCACATCTCCTAAGCACTATACCCTCACCTCACTAAGCACTAGCCCATACCTCCCCAAGAGCTATTCCAACATCTCCCCAAGCATTATCCCCACACCTCCCCAAGCGCTATCCCCACACCTCCCCAAGCGCTATCCCCTCATCTCCCCAAACGGTAGCCCATCGCCTCCCCATGTACTAGACCACACCTTCCCTAGCAATAGCCCACACCTCCCTAAGCTCCAGTCGAACACCGCTGTGCTAGCTGTTTTATTATCGTCTGCCTGTTTCACCAATCCCCAGCCTTAAGATCCACCTTGGGCCGACAGGCTGTGATCCCGTCAAGCCGTACCACAACAATACACCATCAGATTACAGTCCCCTGCAGTTGGCACATGGCAGATCCTCTTCATTTTCTTGTTAATGTAAAAACACCCCTAGTTACAGAATATATTTAAAAAAGTTATATTTCAACTCGTAACTAGTTTTTTCTTGCGAGTCACCCAACACATTCTGTCAATGCTTCAGTTTGACGAACTATCTAGAAGAGGGGTCAGTAGCCTGCGTTTTCAGAAACTTCTGAATACAAAAATTGTCCATGCCGTTAGTAAGGAAATTATTTTTTTTCAATGTTAAATAATTTTCAAAATATAAGAGCTCATGAATCATTAGCAACACTACAACAGTCGAGTGTCCTTAAATGAATAATGGTAACGTAAGAGATATGGAAGTGTCTTCCAGAAATACTCATTTTTTTCTATTTCTGTGGAATCTCTTGGTCAAAGTGGTTACACGTCTGTCTCAGTGAATGTTGCACGAGAAAAAAATAAACCCTGCCAAAATTTATCGTATACGAAATGCACATAATTATTTTCCTTGTGATTATATATGCATAGATATATTAAGTATATATATATATATATATATATATATATATATATATATATATATATATATATATATATAAATTAACTTAAAGGTCTGGTTTGTTACCGCCTATTGAGAGAATACAATCGTAAATGGGAGAGCTCATTCGGTGATGTGGTAGTTGACATCGATCTAGCCCACTATTGGCCCATTTGACAGGAAGAATGGGCGTTCACAATAGTGTCGGGTAGCACAGGTCTAATTTCAATATTAATTAAAATCTTGAATAGCGAGGAGTGCTAAAGCGGCAGGCAGGGTGTCAGTTAGTCATAGTATTATTACCTGCTATCTGAATAGATATATAGACTACATAGGGCCTATATATATATATATATATATATATATATATATATATATATATATATATATATATATATATATAATGCATATAAATTTGTCCTATATATTTATACATGTAATTCAATTAATAAAGTGAATAAAAACTATTTTCCTCCGTATGTTAAATTTTAGCACAGGAAGATGCTACAAACTGGTAAAATCCACCCCCTCTCCGGCTTGAGTCTTTGTGTTTACCCAGCAAAGTATAAACAAGGACCCACTACGATGTAGGACGCTCACACAATTATAATTTTTGAATGATAGATATAAAGAATGTAATAGGCATTTTTATCTCAAACTGGACCAGGTGTTTCTATGATCACAAGACATTTTTAAATCAGAAGATTCTTATTGTTCTTGAATCTTGGCACATTGTTTTATTACGATGAAAATTTACGAGAATTTATTTTTGTAATTTACTGTTTGAAAACAAATGCGCCAAATTAAACTTAGAGCAAATAAAAGCACTATTTTATCTGGGCGATGAACTTGGCATAGTTCGCTGGAACTTGAACGAAGGATCCAGAAAGTTCGTTAAACTGGGATGGTGATGTAACAGAGGGCAGTATTAGGTGTATCAGTGCAGTGGCGTAGGCGGAAGGAGGTGTTGTATTGAAAGTTGTTTCAGGTTAACTTACTGCTATTTCCGATGGTGAAGTTGAGGTGGCAGGACAAAGTGTCTAATATAGACCTATGTAGAGAGATAAGACAGGAGCCCATGACTGTGCAAAAAAGGAGGCGGTGGTTCAGAAAATGCGAAAGGCACAATCAAATGTGACACGCCAGGTGTTGGATTGTAACCTCCAAGGGAGGAGAAAGAGAGTACGACTAAGGCATACCTGGAGACGGAGTCTTCTTGAAGAACTGAAGACAGCAAGTATGTCTTAAGAGGTTGCAAAATCAACAGCCGGAGACAGGCCAAAATAGAAGGTTGTTATGATGGAGACCCTAAACTCCACAAGGATTAAAGAGGATTAAGTCTAGTGTTTCAATTGCTATAATGCACTCGTGTTGCTTTAGACCTACTATTTCCAAATTTTGAATGCCCTACAAACACTAATTGTACTCTTTTAAAAACGTTATATATCTATCAATCTATTTATATATATATACATATATATATATATACATATATATATATATATATATATATATATATATATATATATATATATATATATATACATATATATATATATATATACATATATATATATATATATATATATATATATATATATATATATATATATATATATATATATATATATATATATATATATATATATATATATAGGTCCCATACATGAGGAATAAATTGACCCTCGCAAGGGAGAATCCTGCCTACGCCACTGTACCCGAGTAACAAATAAAAAGCCGAATACAAAGAATAACTAAAACTATGTTTATATCCCCGTATTTTGGGCTTATTATACCATTTATAAGCAAGTCGAGTGGACGAGGCAGACAGCTCGGCCAATTAATTAAGTAAGGCAACAGCTGGCTCTCGGGGACCTCGGCGTTGTCATGGATACCATCGTTTGTTTGATGGCGGCACTGCGGCCATGCAAATAGCACCCGTGCGATCCCTAATTTAGACGAACGAAAATTTTTATGTAGCAGCATCGACGACGTAAAAGAAAAGTCCAATGATAAAAAAATCAGTTATTGTAACTTATCATCTTTGTCATCTAGCAGGAAGTGAAGGCACCCAGATGAGTTATTAAAATAAATATGAAAGAACTAATGTAGTTTTTATCCATGCCGCCAGAAATAATTTAGATAAAGTCTCACTAAAAAGTTGTATATGTAAATTTTCTGACGTCTTGAGCTATCTCACTATAGTCAGCTTTTTGTCAGGAATGCAAATTCCATTACAAGTCATTAGAATACATAGAATCTACATATAGCCAACAACTATTTACAGAATGAGGTTAAATTTAAAAAAAAAATCTTCTAAAACACCTGGTGTTCGGTTGTTTTAATTATAAACAATTTGAAAGGAATTGGTTTTAATTTGAATTTAATAGACAATAGATTTCAATAAGAAGTTGAAAACTGATGAATAGGAAAGAATGGCTTAATTCTAGCTTTTAGGAGATGAGGACAGTGGAAGACGGTAACATTTCGTTTTTACTTTCTCGTATATACGAAGTATAGAGAAAGTCTTGTAATCGTGCAAAAAAAAAAAATCGAGATTTTTGCAAATCTCGACGTTTTACATCTCACTGATACGGAAAAACATAATTTTGCAATCTTGTCCGTATGTCTGTGTGTCTGTGTGTGTGTCTGTGTGTGTGTGTGTCCGTGTGTAAACACGATAACTTGAGTACCGTTACAGCTAGGTTGATGAAATTTCATATACAAGTATTTTATCAAAATCGTAGATCCGTATCAACTTTTGAGCGATTTCGGATAACCGGAAGTGGTACTTTTTCTACTTTGAATTTTTCAAAAGCCTATAACTTGAGTACTATTTCAGATAGATAAATGAAATTTGATATGTAAGTAAAAGATCTAATTCTCTACCTTCTGTCAAATTTTGAGAATTTTTCGTTGACTGGAAGTACTTATTTACGCTACTTCCGATTTCTCAAAAAACTAATGTAAATTTTAAAAGTACTAATAATATTGCGCACTATTATGCGCTTTTTTATTCGCGTTCACTTGGTGTGCAATTAATTTGTCTACGAGATTTTATTCTATTTTTAAAACTTTAAGTATTTAAAATGGATTAAAAATCATGTCTATAGCCCGAGTTCCCATCCCCTGTTATTTTATATAAGAATATTCGAGAAAGTTTAGGGGAGATCACTCCCGGTTTATTTTAAATTGATGACTTGAAGATTGAGCAAAAAAAAATGTTTAAAAAATTAATGAAAACATTAATTATCTGAAGATATTTTTCGTGTATGCTGTTTCTAATTTCTAATATAGCTCAAGCTAAAGCAGCTTCTTTTTTAAAATTGAAACGGATTACACCTTGATGCATTTTTGTTAAAAAGAAGAGTTTATATAAAAAATAAATCACCAGCAATACTAATATCACGTAAACAATAAATTCTAAATTCATTTTTCAAACATATTTATGTGGGATTTTCTAAATTACAAGTTAAATTCTGCTCTTCAAGTTACTCACTTACTGCACCGATATTGTTCTATTTTTTTTTCAAGCCAAAAAAAAAAAAAAAAAAAAACCGGTAAAAAAACAACAACAGATAAACAAATTTTCGAAAGTAGACACATTACTAGATAGTACTGTTCAAACATTTTTATTCACTAGATCTTTGAACAATATGACATCATTTTCTCTCCCTCATCGTTACATTATTACCAAAAGTCCGAGCCCCACCCTCCCCACCCCTCAGGAGTGTGACGTCACAGACATCTGACAAATTAGTGGTGTAGAAATAAGCGTTCAATGGTAATAAACTAGATTCTAACATTCATCAGAAACATGCGTACAATCACACATCGATTAGCACCATTAAACCACGATATATCGTCACGGGTCTTAGCACCTAGTGTCAAAACATGGAGAGGGAGAAATACAAAAATAAACAAGACAAAAAAAAAACCACCAGATAACGAGACGTGTCGACTCGGACACACGTCCACTGTAGAGACCCACTAAACAGTTTCGTCGTCCTCTTCACTCACAGCAGTTAACAACCCCCCCCCATCTCACCCGTCCTCTACGTACATCATTGAGCCCCTACCTATATCATTGAGCCCTTACTTGCAACCTACTGCCCCTTCTCACAGCCCAGACTCCTTCAATCACGAACAAATTTCCTATGTCATAACCTACACACACAGCCGCGAACCCCCACGCCTATAATGGAACCTACACACGCAGGCGTTATACATATACCCACAGCCCAGGTATCCCACCTACACCCACATGCATGACCCCCGCCCACAGACAGGACAACCCCACCCACATGCATGATACCTCCACCTACAAGGGTGATACCCCCCACCCACATGCATGATACCTCCACTCACTACAGCCCCGCCCAATTGCATGAATCCCCCCCCCCACACGTAGCCATAACACCCCCCACCCACACACAGGCATGACACCTCACCCATATGCATGATACCTCCACCTACATGCATGACACCCCCACCCACTACAGCCCCACCCACATGCATGACACCCCCGCACACATGCATGAAAACCCTACCCACATGCATGATGCCCCAACCTACAGACATGACACCCCCACCCACATGCAAGACACCCCACCCACATGCAAGACACCCCACCCAACACCCACATGTCTGACACACCCACGACAACCCCACCCACATGCAAGACACCCCACCCAACACCCACATGTCTGACACACCCACGACAACCCCACCCACATGCAAGACACCCCACCCAACACCCACATGTCTGACACACCCACGACAACCCCACCCACATGCAAGACACCCCAACCAACACCCACATGTCTGACACAACCACGACAACCCCACCCACATGCAAGACACCCCACCCAACACCCACATGTCTGACACACCCACGACAACCCCACCCACAAGCAAGACACCCCACCCAACACCCACATGTCTGACACACCCACGACAACCCCACCAACATGCATGACACCCCCCTCCCCCCAGCCACAGGCATGACACTTCTACCCTACCTACACAACCGAACCCCTTACCTACGACTTAAAACCAACACCCACAGCCGCGACCCGGCACCGCAACCACCCCTCCCCCCTCCCCCTGAACTGGCGTGCATCACGGTGACAGCGTGACACGGTTCTAAAAATCTCACACAGTTCCAGCACCAGCCCAGGAGAAGCGCGGGCGGGTCACAGTAGACCTAGTGGGTGAGTCCTCTCCTGGGGCACCGGCACAAATACACCTACAGCTTTTTATAAATACGCATGTTTCCGGTGAATGTGGCCAGGTTTTTGTGAGAGTCGGAAACAGTTTGGATGGATCATTTGGTCTGACTTTTTAAAAAAAAAAATGCTGTTCTGAAAAAGTAACGGCTTTAGAAAACGAAATAATTCTTTTGTGAAATGATCGTTTAAAATATGTAAGTAATGAATTAAAAAATGATTTATCTGTATTATTCAAATTTTACATCTATATAGGTCTATTTGAATAGTTTAAGTTAAAAAAAAACTACTTGAAAATATTGATAAAATATACAAATTAAATTAACTTAAGCTAATATAACCTAAGAGATAAAAAAAAAAACTAAGTTGAAAACATATGCTGCTGTGTAATTTTATGTAACACGTAATTATTTTAATCCACTTTTCGATTTCAGGAAAATTTAATTTACAAGCACTAGATCATAAAACTTCGAAAAACAAATCAACCGTAAAGAGTTGAAAAGACAGAGTCTAGTGTGTAAAGTTTAGTGAGAGCGCAACAAAAAGGAAATATAAATTCTAACTCAATCCCTAAATTTTGAAACTCTTCTAGATCTACCATTCGATTAAAATAGTGAAGCATTCATAAAGCTTTAGGAACGATAACTTTAGGACTACTTTGCATTAGAACGGCAGATTCTCCTGTTACGCTCAATACAAGGGTGACAACTCCTATCCCTGATTAATAGAAGAAAGGTAAGTCAAAATCCTGTAATTGTCTGCTCTTTGTCTAGTAATCATCTTGTTAGTGTGTAATTAAAATACGAGTAGCAATTTTCTGTAATTATTAATACCCCTAAAATATTTTCTTTGTAAAATTATATGTCACATGGCAAATTTTGAAACAACAGAAAAACAAGTTTTAGAGTAATTTATTTATAGTGAAGAATAATTTAATTTCCATTTCCAGTAGTGCTCACCTGGTCGAATATTTTTAATCTAAACTATTTGGCGTATGTTCCAACGACCCCACCACCCACCGCAACATCAATATCCAGAACTTATTTAAAGTTCTAAATCTTGTCTCTTTCCCCTCATCTTTCACACTGCAACCTTTTGAAAACTCAATGCGACCACTACAACACCTTTTCAACTAGTCAACTTAAGTTGTTTCCCTACATAGAAAATGCTTCACTGTCCCATTGACCCTCTCTGAAAAATTTCCTTTCCTCTCCCCACCCAGACTTCTGACACTTTCATTTGACCTTCACCCCTTTTACTGTCATCCTTTGCAATTTTTTTTTATAATCAAATACATGACATCATGTAAATATTCATTATGTACATTTGCAAAACCTTTCGTTTTCATTTGGTGTTCAAAATTATGTTAAAAAATTTGATGTTGATGTAGGCCTACTTGTTTTCATTGCAAATAAAAGTATTAAAAAAAAAAAAAAAAAAAATTAGACACTAAATTTTTTAACAATTCTGCCTTAACTGATCGAAATAAAATTGATGACTCTTCCAAAAAAAAAAAACAACAACTTGGCTTAAAAAAAAAATCTAAACATCTCGGCTAGTGTCAGATGTAATGACAAACTAAATGAACGGCGGTAACTAAAGGAAAGGGGGGGGGTTGTCCTGCAGCTCCCCATTTCTATAGACAACAAATCTCATATAACACAACTTGTCAAGACCCCCCACCCCCTTCCCACACACACACATACACACACACACAATCCACATAACAATTTGGTAGTGCAAAAAAAAAAAAAATTAAATAAATTTTGGGAGGTACGACTACATCACTATAGTTTTACAGAATCTGCGAAAAAAACATTTTTGCTACATCTTTATTAAAAAGCAAGTTGAAAGCCTTATAAATGTGCTAAAAAAAAACGTGTGATTTCATTGTGTCCATTTATTCCTCCAAGCGTTCTAAAAGGCAGAGACTTTGCTACGAAATAACAAATACATTAAACAGCGTTATGTAATATTTCTCAATAGCACCACACACCTAAAACATTACGTTCTTCCTCATCTGCAGAACGCCTAAAGCTAGTATGTCAAAGTATTCAACGCTAGCAATCAGTTTAGCTTACAACATCAATTATAACTTGAGTAAAGTATGAAAGCAATGCCGAAGGCGTATGAGCTAATCAAGAACTCGGCTCAACATTTTTGTCATTGTTTTAAAAGCGACCTTAGATATCCCCTTCTTTGTCAATGGCGGCTCGTAGACGTCTTAAGGTTAGATAGCTAAGTGTTGGATTATGTTTTACGTCTGAAGGTTAGATAACTAAGTGTTGGATTATGTTTTACGTCTGAAGGTTAGATAGCTAAGTGTTGGATTATGTTTTACGTCTGAAGGTTAGATAGCTAAGTGTTGGATTATGTTTTACGTCTGAAGGTTAGATAGCTAAGTGTTGGATTATGTTTTACCTTTGAAGGTTAGATAGCTAAGTGTTGGATTATGTTTTACGTCTGAAGGTTAGATAGCTAAGTGTTGGATTATGTTTTACGTCTGAAGGTTAGATAGCTAAGTGTTGGATTATGTTTTACGTCTGAAGGTTAGATAGCTAAGTGTTGGATTATGTTTTACGTCTGAAGGTTAGATAGCTAAGTGTTGGATTATGTTTTACGTCTGAAGGTTAGATAGCTAAGTGTTGGATTATGTTTTACGTCTGAAGGTTAGATAGCTAAGTGTTGGATTATGTTTTACGTCTGAAGGTTAGATAGCTAAGTGTTGGATTATGTTTTACGTCTGAAGGTTAGATAGCTAAGTGTTGGATTATGTTTTACGTCTGAAGGTTAGATAGCTAAGTGTTGGATTATGTTTTACGTCTGAAGGTTAGATAGCTAAGTGTTGGATTATGTTTTACGTCTGAAGGTTAGATAGCTAAGTGTTGGATTATGTTTTACGTCTGAAGGTTAGATAGCTAAGTGTTGGATTATGTTTTACGTCTGAAGGTTAGATAGCTAAGTGTTGGATTATGTTTTACGTCTGAAGGTTAGATAGCTAAGTGTTGGATTATGTTTTACGTCTGAAGGTTAGATAGCTAAGTGTTGGGTTATGTTTTACGTCTAAAGGTTAGATAGCTAAGTGTTGGATTATGTTTTACCTCTGAAGGTTAGATAGCTAATTGTTGGATTATGTTTTACGTCTGAAGGTTAGATAGCTAAGTGTTGGATTATGTTTTACGTCTGAAAGGAGTTGTTGGATTATGTTTTACGTCTGAAAGGAGTTTAAGTGTTGGATTATGTTTTACGTCAGAAGGTTAGATAGCCAAGTGTTGGATTATGTTTTGCGTCTGAAGGTTAGATAGCTAAGTGTTGGATTATGTTTTACCTCTGAAGGTTAGATAGCTAAGTGTTGGATTATGTTTTAACTCTGAAGGTTAGATAGCTAAGTGTTGGATTATGTTTTACGTCTGAAGGTTAGATAGCTAAGTCTTGGATTATGTTTTACGTCTGAAGGTTAGATAGCTAAGTGTTGGATTATGTTTTACGTCTGAAGGTTAGATAGCTAAGTGTTGGATTATGTTTTACGTCTGAAGGTTAGGTAGCTAAGTGTTGGATTATGTTTTACGTCTGAAGGTTAGATAGCTAAGTGTTGGATTATGTTTTACGTCTGAAGGTTAGATAGCTAAGTGTTGGATTATGTTTTACGTCTGAAAGAAGTTTAAGTGTTGGATTATGTTTTACGTCTGAAAGGAGTTGTTGGATTATGTGGATTACTTGTGGAAATAGTATAAGTGTTGGATTATGGTTTACTCGTGAAAGGGGTTTAATTGTTGGATTATGGTTTGCGCGTGAAAGGGGTTTAATTGTTGGATTATGATTTACGCGTGAAAGGGGTTTAATTGTTGGATTATGGTTTACGTGGGGAAGAGGTCTTTTTTTAAATATATAAAGTAACTAACCAGTAGAATATTAGCCGGACGGTTAAGCCAACGGTTCCAATTTAACGTAGAAAAATAATCTGGAATGATCCTGTTTATCTCGCTTGTTTTCCTGTGAGTTATGGCGAGGCTACTGTGTGATGAAGAAACAGCCCCGGGCATACGTCTAGCAGTGGCATGTCGCCTGAGTCACGTGGTCCAGGGGAGAGATCGGGTTTGAATGGATCCATCTGATTATGGTTGAATAGTGAAGATACTTTGATAGTATTGTAAATCATCTACCATCGGCAGTGGCGTAGCTACCGTAAAGCTAGCGTAAACAAGGCATAGGGGCCCAAGGCAAATATGGGCCCTTTTTCGAAAGTTTGAGGGGGGGGGGTGCAAATTGAAAGTCTGAGGGGGTGGGGTGCAAATCGAAAGTCTGGGGAGGGGGGTGCAAATCGAAAGTCTTAGGGGTGGGGTGGGGGGGGGTGCAAATCGAAAGTCTGAGGGGTGGTGCAAATTGAAAGTCTGGGGGGGGGGGTGTAAATCGAAAGTCTGATGGGTGGGGGGGGGGGGTGCAAATCGAAAGTTTGGGGGGGGGGTGCAAATCGAAAGTTTGTCCCCGGACGCCGGGAAGGGTCGCTACGCCTCTGAGGGGCCCACTAACACTTTTTCCATAGGGGCCCAAAAACCCTAGCTACGCCAGTTGTATAGTAAATGATCGCACAAAGTTATAGTACAGTGAATAATATATTTAGATCGATCACATTCATTGATTAATTTGTTGTCAGCTCATTATCAACAGGATAATTATATGTTTGTTGGTTTAGCTGTTATCAGATTAGTGACTCCTCATTTCAACCAATGTGAACTTTCAGATGGACGGATTTGACATGGCTCGCTAATTTGATCCACTAATTGGAGTTTCAGATAGCCCTACAGCTAGTTCAATTTCGCTTCCAACTTTATCCTTCCATAATATGATATTACAGAGGCGTAGCGAGGGGGGGGGGGTACATACGTCCCCGGGCGCTGACCGTAGGGGGCGCCAAAATGGGTTGAAAAAAATTAAAACCTCATTTTAGCTGCAGATTTGGATTATAAATATAAAAATAATATGGGAAGGGGGCGCCAAATTGAAAGTTTGCCCGGGGGGGGGGGGGCAAATTGAAAGTTTGTCCCCGGGCGACGGGAAGGATAGTTACGCCTCTGTGATATTAACTAGGAAGTTTGGTTTGCTCGGTAATGTCTGCGGATTAGATCTCTCAGCACTGAAATATCATCCTAGTGTACCTAGTACAACATTCTCTGTTACCTAACTCATTACTGAAAGCTCATCACTTGCAATATTTTTTACAATGCGATATGGTACAGTTGTCCGCTTAATCTAATGTCGTAGAATAATGAAGGTGGAAGTTTTAGTTTCACCCAGGCACCAGTCACCCATTGTTTGAAATACTAGACTTACTGGTCTTCCTGGACAAAGTAGTCGACCCCTCCAGTTCATTCTCGTGACTTTATCCAACCTACAAAGATACAGAGATTCTTCCAGGCATCTCTCCGAAAAAAGTCTACCCCCCCTCCGAACGAAATGGAATTTATATAGAAAAACGTACTTTTAACAGTGTCCGCCGCTCACCCCCTCGGATATTTTAATCCCCCCCCCCCCCCCCGAACGAAATGGAATTTATATAGAAAAACGTACTTTTAACAGTGTCCGCCCCTCACCCCCGTCGGATATTTTAGCCCCCCCCCCCCCCTACTCTCCCGAAAATTTCAAGTGCGCCCCGGAAAAAAAGTCTGGAAGAAACACTGCAAAGATGGATGTCTGTAAGAGCGCATGAAAACTTGATTGCGTGATGCGCCCGAACT